GCCGTTACATTGGGGCCCAACGTGGGGCTGAGCACGTTCATATTAAATTTGAGCAAAATAAGCCTCAGTACCCTACTATGCGGCCCGGGACGTGCCTTCTGTTGACGGGGGAGTATGTAGCAGGGCGTGGAGTCATCCCACAGATGACATCCTTACCTTGTCAGCTTGCTGACGGGGTTAACCTCTTTGGTCATGTGGACAAGGCGTCCGACCTGTGATCAGAAGGTCCATGGTTCGAATCCCATCACGGGACTCGGAAATTTTATGGCCGTTACATTGATATCACCCAACTATATTTGTCATGGGAAATTTTTGAAAATGAAAATGTTTTTTTCTGCTTTCAATTTGAGACATTAGTGCTTGTGGTTCGTGTATATGACACTTGCTTCAGATTTGGAATATCAGCCTCTGAGCAGGTTTAATATATGCCTGGCAGTGATGCAATGTTGGAGATACCAAATGTGATAGATCAAACTACCAAACCTAGTTAATTAGAAAGCCAGATCTAGAATCAAGATATTTTGTTAAAAGATACAAGATGCTGGTTAGCCGAAAAGAAACCCCAAAATGTCAGCTTCTAATGTACTAATGGGAAGGGGGCGGTCGGGTAGCCTAGTGGTTAAAGCGTTCGCTCGTCACGCAGAAGACCCGGGTTCGATTCCCGACATGGGTACAATGTGTGAAGCCCATTTCTGGTGTCCCCCGCCGTGATATTGCTGGAATATAGCTAAAAGCGGCGTAAAACCATACTCACTCACTCACTCACTAATGGGAAGACAGCTGCATTAAAAAGAAACGTGAAGGCATTTATTGGAGGAAACATGATGTGTGTGTTTCCAAGCAGGAGCTAATCCCCAGCCTGTAACGCAGGAGGTTATGAAAACATTCTCCAACATGGTTGAATGAGCTGCGGCCAGTGGTCCATGGCTAGCAGAAATAGCAGAGAGCCTTCCATCACTCACTTTCCATCACTCACTGTCAGTTCACGTGTAAATGTTTCATCACTTGAATACTTACCTAATCAGTTTGTGCGAAGTACAGATAACAAGCACCATGTTGCTCCAACATTCTAGACAAGATGTTCTCAGCTAATAATAATAATAATAATAATAATAATAATAATAACAATAATAATATGATGATAATAATAATAATAATAATAATAGTGAAACAGAAGGCTTTTTGTTTGCTGCTCAGGACCAGTCACTTCCCACTCGAAACCGCCAATGTGTGATTTTGCATCAAAATGTAAACATGAAATGTACATTATGCAATGCATTTAATGAGACAGTCCTACACATTGTCAGTGGAAGCCCAGCTTTGGCACAAACACAGTATCTTAAGCAACATGATGGAGTGGCTCATCAATTTATTACCGTCCTCACCATGCTTGTGGTTTTGACACAGATGTCCATCCATGGTACGACCCAGAATATGTAGAGGGCGTCATGGAAAATGATAAATACAAAATTCTTTGGAATAGGCCCATATACAGCCTCAGATGTATCCAGGCCAACAAACCTGATCTTGTCCTTTTTGATAAATCCATTGAAATCATTTATATCATTGAATTTTCAGTCCTTTTTTACACCAATGTGATTGACAAGATTGAGGAAAAACATGGCAAATATGCAGACCTCGCTCTCGAAATGTCACGCTTGCATCCCAAGTACCAAGTTGTCCGACTCCCCATTGTTCTCGGTGCCTTAGGTTTGGTACCTCTCAATCTGTTGACTGACATTGGGAGAGTACCCGGGTTTGCTACAAGAAATACAGCCCTTCTGACAATCTGGGTAATGCAGAAGGCTGCAGTGTTGGGGACTCTTCACATTTTCCAAAAAGTTCTGGGTGGGTTTAACTAGGCAGCGCTTCCTGGGAGAAGTCCAATTCGCTGTCTGGGCTGCGTGTAGAGGGGGCAAGGGCCCTGAGCTGATGATGAGCCTAACCAGCCTGACTGTGCCAGGATTGCCCAAACCCTCTTTGCTTTTTTTTTTTTTTTGAATCTGTACATAATAAAAATTCTTCTTTCTTTTTTTTAAATATATAATCTGGAGACATGAAACTTCTTGTGGATAACAACTGTTTTATTGTTTGTCTTACGTTTCAGAGATCCTCCTGTCTCTTCATCAGTTGAATAATAAATGACATTTACCTGATGAAGGGGCAACGAGTAGCCCATTACAAGCAATAAAGAAGTTCCTATCCCCAAAATGGTTTTTGTCTTCAGATTATATATTTAAAAAAAGAAAGAAGTCCTCACATCATTATGTTAAATGCTTATCAAAGGTCTTAATATGTAATTTGTTCATTTTGAAATACTGTGATTAAGGGTTTGAATCCCGGTTCGCCCCGATTATGTTTCTATGTTTGAAACCACCGTACCCGTGCTCGTGGGTTTCACCAAAGTGGTGAACGTCTAAGACCTGCATCACTTGGGGTTTACCTCCCACATTAAGCTGAAACTCTGTGATAAAACTGAAATACTGTTAAAAGCAGTGTTAAACCCTACTCACTCGATCATGATGAAATAAAGCCTTCTGGTAGTGAAGTCTTTTCGCCAGACCATCTTTGTTTCAACCTCAGGTGGCACAACTTGTGAGTTGATTGCTTTACTTAAATCAAACCCTGCTTCACATATGTATCAGTGGAATTATATATGCTTGTCTTCAAGCCAAAGTTTCTTTTAATGCCTGGTGGTTGGATTTAGACAGTGTCGGCCTTCCTATTGATCCTTCACACTGGGGAGGCTTAGTAAGGAAAGATTCATCAACTAACTTGATTTGTGGATGAAAATTTGTCACCTACTTGGCGTTGGTCATTTGGTCAGCAGCACCAAGCCAGTGGTTTGTACTTCATGATCCGCTTTTACCAAGAAAGAAATTTGATTTTAATAATTCATGTTGAGATTACTACGAATGACCTGTGTTACGAGGAGATGGACTTGATTAGATTTGCTGCAATCAGTGTGTGTGTGTGCGTCTATCATGACTGGTGGCACAACACACCTATTTTTAGACAGGTTAACATTGCTGTACTTACTGGGACGGTAGGGTAGGATAGCCTAGTGGTTAAAGCATTTGCTCATCATGCCGAGGGATCGGTTTGATTCCCCACATTGGTTCAAATACTTATGTACACCCTATGTACCGTATTCGACGTAATAAGCGCCCCGCTCTAATAAGCACCCACGGCGATATTTGCTAATATATTGGCTAGTGAACAATCCTAATTGGCACCCCTTCCGATTGATCACTGTACTGGACTTATATTTTGTGTGTTATATGTACCCTTAATTATGGGCAATTAAATTCTGGAAAAATATATCTGTCGTACATAAACATTTCATGCTGTCAGCATAAACCAAGAAATTTATCTTTCAACTCTGTTTTTTTTCACCAAAATAATATTCTATTAAGAGCCCCCTATTTCTAATTTTGAGAGCGCCCTGGGCGCTTATTACGTCGAATACGGTATTTAAAACATTCTGAGATATAAATGACAAATTAAACCTTCTGTATTAAAGTATCACACCTACTAGTACTCTGAGTTTTATTAGAGACAAGGATTGTACCTGTGTGCAGTCCAGGATTTGAGTAGGTCGGCGATCGGACCAATTTTCTTCCGAAAAACTTAAAATATAACAGTACTTATTTAGATTCTACATGTATAACATCCAGTCGTAAAATAATACAGACTACTTTGATTAATTTACACAAAGTATTTTTATTTTTTTACGCATGCAGTTTGAATCATCGTCCATGATCAGTGTTACATACATCTACATGTCCCATGCCACTGTGAAATAATTGCGCCACTGTTCCATTCACTACAATCATTACGTAATGTAAACCTCAGCAAGGAATATCTGTACAACGCTCTTTCCTAGAACGCGGGGTCGGTTTCTTGGACCCCGATGAAAGCGGTATATCGAGGGATCACTGTATCTCCAGACTCCTGTCACCAGGGTGTGTGACCAAATACATTTATTGAAGGTGTTGTGCCTATGCAGTAATTCATGAATATGTCTGATTTATGTTATCCCTTGGAGAAAGTTGTATTTTGTTTATCATCCTGCATTGCACATGTTCTCTCTTAGAGTGGAAATATGATGTATATCATCCCATGTTGCAGGTGATTTCTTCAAGAAGAGATATTGTGTATATGACCCTATGTTGCAGGTGTTCTTTTGGACCAGGGATATTTGGTATATCAACCCATGTCTCTTGGATATGTTATCTTATTTATATCACCCTTTGTGTTGCAGTGTTCTCTTGGAGTGGAGATCTGTTGTATTGGTCCTGTGTTACAGGTGTTCTCTTGGAGTGGAGATATTATATATATCGCCCTGTTACAGGTCTTCTCTTGGAGTGGAGATATTTTGTATATCGCCTTGTGTTACAGGTGTTCTCTTGGAGTGGAGATCTGTTGTATTGGTCCTGTGTTACAGGTGTTATCTTGGATTGGAGATATTATATATATCGCCCTGTTACAGGTCTTCTCTGGAGTCGAGATATTTTGTATTGGCCCTGTGTTACAGGTGTTCTCTTGGAGTGGAGATATTACATATATCACCCTGTTACAGGTGTTCTCTTGGAGTGGAGATATTACATGTATATATTGTTAAGGCTCCACATTCTGTCATTCCAACTTTTGTATATCTTCCGGCTTACCGGAAGTATGGTTTTTAGAGTACGAATAAATGGCGACGAGATGAGCATGTGTTGGTGTCGTTCTCAGTAATATGGCGAATTAACATATATCACCCTGTTACAGGTGTTCTTTTGGAGTGGAGATGTTTTGTATATCACCTTGTGTTACAGGTGATCTCTGGAGTGGAGATGTTTTGTATTGGCCCTGTGTTACAGGTGATCTCTTGGAGTGGAGATATTATATATATCACCTTGTGTTACGGGTATTCTCTTGGAGCAGAAATATTTTGTATATTGCCTTGTGTTACAGATGTTATCATGATATTATATATGTCATCTTCTGTCTTGCAGGTGTTGTCTCTTGGAGCGGAGGTGTTGCCCGAATACAAGCTACAGTCCCCACGCATCCACAGCTGCACTATCCTCCACTACTCTGCGTTCAAGGCGGTGTGGGACTGGATCATCCTGCTGCTGGTGATCTACACTGCCGTCTTCACCCCCTACGTCGCAGCCTTCCTGCTGGGTGAGGAGAAGAAGAACCGTGTGCGTGAAACAATGCAGGAACGTTACTCCAGCCCTCTGAACATTATTGACCTCATAGTTGATATAATGTTTATCGTCGACATTCTTATAAACTTCCGTACCACTTATGTGAACAAGAACGATGAAGTGGTGAGCCACCCAGGGAAGATAGCAGTGCATTACTTCAAGGGATGGTTCCTTATTGATGTTGTTGCTGCCATTCCTTTTGATCTCCTTCTTTTTGGGTCCGAAACCGATGAGGTAAGCTGTTCCACACACCAACTGAGGGTCTACCCAAAACACCAAAACATGCATTTTTCTCTCTGTAAGAAGCAGCTAAACAATATTTTTGGACCAAAACTCATATTTCAGAGTATCCAACATGTCCATCGAAAGCTACCAAATCACACATACTTTCAATGTATAGAATAACACACGTAATATGTAATGCGTAACGAACATGCATAATAAGTCACTAATATTCCTGTTCATAAACAGATTAACTATATTGTCTTGATGTTTATAACTATGTCTTTGTCAATTCCACATAATTTCTCTTCCATGTTGTCGTAGCAGTAGACTACATTTGTTAGCCTTCGATGCATCATAAAATCATCATAAAATAAATGATAGGGAAAAAAGTGTCGTCTTTGCCAAGTGGTGTTTAACTGACAAGTATGTTATTGTACGATCAGAAGAACCATGGTTTAATACTTCTGAACACTGTCACATTGTCATGTAGCATCCATGTACGCTTGTTCAAAGCTGCGTTAAATCCATCTCACTCACTCACTCACTCTAGCTCTGCTTTGACCTTCATTTCAGACCACCACCCTCATCGGCTTGCTAAAGACAGCACGGTTGTTACGACTTGTACGCGTCGCCCGGAAGCTAGATAGATACTCCGAATATGGTGCTGCTGTCTTGTTGTTGCTAATGGCAACGTTTGCTCTCATTGCTCATTGGCTGGCTTGTATATGGTATGCAATTGGGAATGTTGAGCGGCCATATTTACCCGAACCTAAAATCGGGTGGCTGGACGAACTAGCCCGACAAACCCATCAGTTTTACCCGGCGAATGCTACTGGTGGCGGCCCCACCATCAAGTCCAAGTACATCACAGCACTGTATTTTACATTTAGCTCTCTCACAAGTGTGGGGTTTGGAAACGTTTCACCCAATACCAACTCTGAGAAGATATTTTCTATACTCATCATGTTAATAGGATGTGAGTATGATTTACTTATATTATCTAAGTTGTGTACTCCCCAGGGAGCTGAAAATGCAATCTGGGTGCGTTATAATTATATATGTTGTAATTATGTTAACATGAATTGGGAAACATTTAATTCCAATTTGGAATTTTTTACTGACATTAACTGCAGATTTGGGTTGAATGTGAACCTCTGGGCAAGTCAAGATGAATAGTCCACATTATCTCAAACCTGTCTTCAGTGTAGTGCTGTGTCATAGCATTTGGACTCGGAAACATCTTTCAAGAAAGTTTGTTTTAGTCCTGCTGTCTTCGTCCCACATCTCCACACAAATACATGGCTACCTCATTTAATTATAACATTGTCAGAAATCCCATTTACATTCAACAGGTTTTTCCGTTTTCAGTTTCAAGTTTGGACTTAAATGAATTTACCAGAGACTATTTAGCCAATACTCTGTTACTCTTGAAAAATCGAAGACAACAATTGATAAAAAAAATCCATGTCGGTGAAAGCTATAAACCCATTTCACAATTTTTTATATACATCTCCCCATTGAGAATTCATTCTATGGAAAAATGAGCTGGAATTCACTTGTTAACTGTCACAGAGATACTTGCTTCAGTACATTATTTATTGATTTTTTACCTCAAAAGGCCCACAAACTTACCATCAACCTGCAATGGCAAAGGGTATTGTAAGTGCATACAACTTCAAACAAAGGGATAGCGTGGTTGAAAATTTTGTTTCATGGTTGAGAGTGTTTATGTGTACTGTAAATGATCCAAAGATGTATACCGTATTCGACGTAATAAGCGACTAGGGCGCACTCAAAATTAGAAATAGGGGGCTCTTAATAGAATATTATTTTGTCGGAAGTTGATTTGAAAGATAAATTTCTTGGTTTATGTTGACAGCATGAAATGTTTATATACGAGAGATATATTTTTCCAGAATTTAATTGCCCATAATTAAGGGTGCATATAACACACGAGTGCGTAATATACGCGAATAAATAAGTATTGTGTACATTGATCAATCGGAAAGGGTGCTAATTGGGATTGTACACAAGCCAATATGTTAGCAAATATCACCGTTGGCGCTTATTACGTCGAATACGGTATGTGTTGTTTCAAATGTTCTGTGAGTCCAGACAGGTTTGTAGTTTTCCAAGAGGTTAAATCATTTGCTTGTCACTCCGAAGGCCTGAGTTCGATTCCCACATGGCTACTGGATGTGAATGCCATTCCTCATGTGCCAAGTCTTGATATGGGTGGAATATTGCTGAATTGGCATAAAATTCTGCTAACCCTTAGAGTCAGATATGTTCTCTATATCATAGCACTTCTTTTGGAAGATGTACGGCATTGGCAACTCACTGCCTCTATGTATATATATATATACACATGCATATTGTTCACTAGTTTTGAGGCTTTCACACTGTAGTGTAATGTTGAATGTGTGTTGCAGCTCTGATGTACGCCAGTATCTTCGGTAATGTTTCCGCCATCATTCAGCGGTTATACTCAGGCACAGCCAGATATCACACGCAGATGTTACGAATCAAAGAATTTATCCGATTCCATCAAGTTCCAAATCCACTTCGGCAGAGATTAGAAGAATATTTCCAGCATGCTTGGTCGTATACTAATGGTATTGATATGAACATGGTGAGTACCCAACTTGTGCGTGCAATTTTCATAACATTGTTTGGGGGCACGGGTAGCCCTGTATTCTACAGCTTTCGCAGTGCAGAGTTGTGTCCCTTGGGCACGCCAGGAACCTATGATCATGATATTTTCATTTTTGTTTAGTTAGTTGTGGTATTCAACACGTAATGATCTTTTCTTTGCAAATAACCTCTGACCTCTGACCTTGTTTTGAACATACTCATTAATTTGATCAAACTGCATATTTGGCCCTGCAAACTTCTCTTCTGAAATTGCTAGACTGAAGGAGATGAACTTTGACATATGTTACTTTGTCCTCATTGTTTAGGTACAAATTGTTTGAATATCAACTCTGACAGCAACCTTTGCAAAGTCCTTGTTGACATTTTACACTGTAAACTATGTATCCAGGTGAGCTACAGTGCCGTGGCACTAGTTTATCCTAATTATTTGTACACCACTATGTCACTAAAACAAAATAACATGGATCATTTCTCATGCTACCAAGCACTAGTCAAGACTCACTTGTTTAATAACAATATATTGGTATATTGTTACAGCGTGAAACAACACTCACTCACTCACTCACTCCACCTCCCATCTGTTACAGGTATTGAAAAGTTTCCCTGACTGTGTCCAGGCAGATATCTGTCTGCACCTCAATAGGAACCTACTCAACAACTGCCCAGCTTTCAAAGGTAAATCCTGCTTCAGTTTTCCTACAAAGTTGAATAGGTTGATCTTGGAAGCCAATTACAGAGAGTGGGATTTCAGAACTTTCACTTGGACATTTAAATACTTTCTACGATTATTGTGAATTTTTCTCTTAGAAAATGGCTAAATATATTGTGGAAAATTTATATTCACAACAAAATCACAATAGTTTTTCTCACTTTACTTGTTCTTTAACGTATTACCCATGTGAATTCCGGGATAGAACTTATCCCAGGTATCCCATACTTGCAAGTCGTATACGACCCATGAAGATCCGGGGTAGAACAGGTCTTCAGTAACCCATGCTTGCCGTGAAAGGCGACTGTTCTTGTCGTAAGAGGTGACTAATGGGATCGGGTGGTCAGGTTCATTGACGTGGTTGATGCATGTCATCGTATCCCAATTGTGTAGAATTGATGCTCATGATGTCAATCACTGGATTGTCTGGTCCAGGCTCAATTATTTACAAGCCACCGTCATATAGCTGGAATATTGCTGAGTGCGGCGTTGAACAACAAACAAACAAACAAGTTGTATACACCGACTGATGAGGAGGGGTGGTCAGACTCGATGTTTTCAGTGACGGGGTGGCCCAGTCCAGACTGGTTTAATGGCTACCTTGATGGCTGGAATGTGACTGTGGAGTAAAAAAAAAACCTCCACTCACTGTTTAGTTCATGTGGTTTCCCCTTAACCAACTTTGGTGCTCACCATTTATCATATTTGCCAGTAGATCCCCTTGTTCCTGCTCCAAGTTGTTCACGGCATGGGTGGGCCAAGTACTTAAGTCGCACTTTTTTGTGCATCCATTAGGCTAGCCTGTCCCCCAGTCCCTGAACCATATTATTTTCCCTTTCACCCAGCCTTTACTGTAATGCTATAGCACGAAATGAATCAAGTCTAGATTTTCCACAGCTTCTGAATCTCCCATCTCACTGAGGCTCCTTTTCAATAAAATCATGTAATTGCTTGTTTCTATCAAAATTATATATTTTCAGAGACTAAGTGTAAGTCTACCATAAGGCTTACCTGAAACCTATTACAGTAAACTACGGTTATAACAAACATGCTTATAACGAACTGACGGACATAACGAACTGATGGACATAACGAACTGACGGACATAATGAACTTACTATTTTGGACCCGACTATTTGCTGTAGTTATACTTATATATGCTTATAACGAACTACGGTTATAACGAACTAAAATTAGTAGTCCCTTTGAGTTTGTTATAACCGTAGTTTACTGTACCTCGTGGGTTGGAATCCCAGCTCATCCTGATCATGTCAGCCATACCCATGCTTTTTCGGTTTCACCAAAGTTATAAATCTCTAAAAACTGCATAACTTCGGGATTTCATCCCACATAAGTTGATATCGTATTCGACGTAATAAGCGCCCAGGGCGCTCTCAAAATAGGGGGCTCTTATTAGAATATTATTTTGAGTTGAAAGATCGTAAATTTCATGGTTTATGCTGACAGCCTGAAATGTTTATATACGACAGATATATTTTTCCAGGATTTAATTACCCATAATTAAGGGTGCATATAACACACGAGTGCGTATTATACACGAATAAATAAGTCTTGTGTACATTAATCAATTGGAAGAGGTGCTAATTGAGATCGTTCACTAGCCAATATATTAGCAAATATCGCCTTGGGCGCTTATTAGAGCAGGGCGCTTATTACGTCGAATACGGTATATGATATAACTGCAGTAATTTTTAAAACGGAGTTAAACCAAACTCACTCACTCACTCACTTAAGGTAGTTAAACAAATGTTTTGTTGCAGGAGCCAGCCCTGGTTGTTTAAGAGCCCTGTCAATGCAATTTAAAACCACACATGTTCCTCCGGGCGACACTCTTGTACATCGGGGCGATGTGTTGACAGCATCATACTTCATATCTCGGGGGTCTATAGAGATTCTCAGAGATGATATCGTGGTAGCAATATTAGGTAAGTGATAATAGATGTACATATCATAATCTTGTACATCAAATACTTAATATCTCAGGATCTATTCTCAGAGATGATGTTGGAGTTTGTAATTAGTATAGTAGAACATTAAATATAAAAAGTAGTATTTTCGATGTGCTCCTGCAGAAAGTTCAATTGACTATTCGTAGTAGCTTATCATGCCAGAAATCCAAAGCTTACAAAGAAAACCAGCTAACATATTTGAACATATCTGATAAGTTTCTTTTTAATATCATAAGGTTTTCCATTATTTTCAATTGGACATTTCTGTCAGCCAAAAAGGCACCAGATCCTACCTCATCCTTTTCTCGTCTGATTACATAGATTGATGTCCGTTTATGTTTTTGTTTCCAGGGAAGGATGACGTCTTTGGTGAGAATTTGTGTAAACATGATACAGTGGGGAAGTCGAGTTGTAATGTCCGTGCCTTGACATATTGTGATCTTCATAAGATTCATCGAGACGACCTACTGGATATACTCGATATGTACCCCGAGTTTTCAGACCACTTTGTTGACAATCTTGAGATAACCTTCGACCTTAGAGACGTAAGTCATGGCATGCTTCGGATAAATTCTGCATCCTGTGGGGAAAGAAAATATCCCCAGAACCTAATGTTTACGGAAATGACAATTAGAAAAGGGGTTCCAAGGGGCAGACACCATACTCATATGTAAACATGGTAACTAGTCCGCAGATCATTTCGGACTTGTGGTTAATTTAATAACTAGATTTTCAGCGGAAATAACTAGTGTGTCCAGATTGTCATTAGTCTCGGACTGACGGACCAGTGGGCGTGTCTATCCACCGATCAGGTGACCAGGCTCTGTGATGGGCTGATTGTGCGTCATCATACCCAGATCGTTGCTCATGCTATCAATCATTGGATTGCCTGGTCCAAACCTGATCACTGGCAGACCGACATGATATAGTAGTGAATGCGGCATTAAACTATTCTACCATGAATTTGGAAAATACTTGATTGAAACAGCTAACTAAGATTTTGATTTTGTTGCCATGTGCCATATGTTATTATCTTTCAGTTAATAGTTTGTGGAAGAGAATGATAAGTTGTAATTGTCAAGACTAAATTGATATAGAGTAATAAAATGATTGATTAAAAATTGTCATGAAATTGGATCATATTTTTTTGGTCAAAGTAAGAAATCCGAGGAGGGAATAATTCATTTTTTAAGGTAACATCAGCTCTCTCTTTTTAATCTGTATCACAGAAGATATTTGCCATATTTAGGCCCATCGTCTGCTGGAAGCTTCATTTTTTGTTATTTTTTCTCCAAAGACAAAAGGAGTTAATTTCATCAAAATCTATGTATCAAGGACAGGGGACTGGAAGCTTCATTTTTTGTTATTTTTTCTCCAAAGACAAAAGGAGTTAATTTCATCAAAATCTATGTATCAAGGACAGGGGACATATATTATGCAAAGAATTTCACTTGGACCTGTCGACTTTGCGATTTTCGAGATATTATTGTCAAATTGAGCATCATTAGTTTTATGGATGTTTTTTATCTTAAACACAGTTATCTTGAACACAGTAATCTCAAGATAATTTTGCCTGTATGGCATGTCAGCAGGATGATAATATGATAATAAAGATGTATGGGATCATTTGTGTGAGTATTTTTCCAGGAGGAGCTTGTCGTACGGAGCGATGGAAGGAACAAGACTCGTCACGTAAAACGATGGTGCAGGGCAGCATCTCCATACAGGGCATCAATAGACTCACAAGGTGCGTGGAGCTTACACAATACTCCATTTGTATCAATCAGTCAATGAGTATTATGTTTACTTGTGATGGTATCACTCCTAACATAGGCTTTGTATAGGCTGTGTCTGGTTTCCTTCCATTTGATTTCCAGGCGATGTTACAATTAGTGTATGCGCGAGTCGATAATGTCATCAGTGTACACACAAAACATGTTACAATTAGTGTTCAGATGAAACAATGATCTCATGACTAGTGTACATGCAAAACGGTGATGTCACGATTTGTTTATACACAGAACATGATGTTGCAATTAGTGTACACACAAAATGGTGATGTCATGTGAGTGTACACACAAATGGTGATGTCACAGCCAATGAATGGAATAGGTGTGTCAAGCATTATGTGAAAGAATCATGAATGTTGAAAAAAACAAACCTTGTAATTGAAATAATTCAATGTAAATAAGAGGGGTGGTCGGGTAGCCTAGTGGTTAAAGCGTTTGCTCATCACGCCAAAGACCCGGGTTCGATTCCCGACATGGGTACAATGTGTGAAACCCATTTCTGGTGTCCCCCGCCGTGATATTGCTGGAATATTGCTAAAGTGGCGTAAAACCATACTCACTCAATGCAAATAAGAACATGCAATCATCCCTGAGGCTATTGGAGAAACTACAGATGTTATTGAGTCAGTTATAGGGCATGGAGGAGATTATACATGTATGTTTACATGAAATGTTTATTCCAGGTTTTGACGACGATGTTCCTGTAGTTGCAATGTCAGGTATGTCGTGTATGTAGATGCAGATAGAGATCACATTAAAGGGACACTGTCACAATAGGTTGGCATGGTAACCTGAATAGCTGAGATGTGGAATAAATTTGACAATGTCCCTCTAACAAATGTTTATCTGGGATGAAAATAAATATGAAATTATTCACAACCATGTCAGAATTTGAACGCAATGTAATAGTTGGGGTGTCACAATACACATCCCTTGTATGTACCTATATCTCCAAAGTTATAGCAGTATTCAAAAAGGTGCAACATTATTGTGAGTTGGTCCTTTCTGAAATTATTCTTACATTCTTAGTTATTGAATTGAAAGTTATCCCAGCTGAAAAAAAGGGCTGTATTTGTGTGCATTGGTGTCGTTTCTCTTCTGTGAGCGATGCAGATCTGATATGGCTGCTGTCTCTGTGATATGCATCACAAGCTCCGCCTATTTCAGAATAAATACTGTTATACACATTTCATATCTTACAATGCGTTAATACGAGGTTAGACATGGTTCAGTCCGAGGTCCCAGATTTACATGTCTTTCGTGGTATACTGAAACACTATATGAACTCAGAATTCTAGCATCTTATAGTATATTTGATTGTATAGAATGAGCTGTAACACTGCTAGTGGTGGAGTACTCTCATCTATAAGTCAGCATCTTGTCGTGCCAGGTCTTGAGTTTGATTTCCCACATGAGTAAAATTTGTGGAGCTCATTTCTTATGTCAATGTGATATTTCTGGAATCTTGCCAGAAGCGGTGTAAAACCCTGCTCACTTTCTCAGAAACTAGTTGGGTTTTTAGAAAAAAACATGATGAGAAGTATCCAGTAGACCAAATGTTTAGTTTTAGCAGACACATGCTTCTTATATTATTAACGCTGTAATACGGAACAATTTCTTGTTGTTTCTATGGTTACCTCAGTGTCACAAGACCACTGCTTTTGTCTGTAATCAGTCTTTTCACATGTAAAACCAAGTTAAGAAAATCATTTCATTTGTTCACAAACATAAGCTGTCTGCTCAAAAGTTTTCCCAAAAAGTTTTTTCTTTAACTTTTTAAGCCTTTTGAAATTTGGAATTGCACCAAAGATATACAACATTGTTGTGTCTAGCATTGAATTGGTGATACCTGTGTTTCTATGGTGTTTCAGTGTACATTACTGTTCTGTGTTGTAGCTGCAATGCTAGCCTCTGTTGTGATGAACTGTGGTAGTTCTAGCTTGTGCACTGCTGTATTGTATATATGTGCTCTGTGAACTGCATGAGGTTAGGTTACAAGGAGTTATCCCCCTTTGATTAAGAAGAACTCAGATTACAGTTGCATCTTCCTGAAAGTGTAGTTACTGTGAACTTACAGATCTGTTAAGGATCAATTACTTTCTCACAATCAAAACTATGCAAATTAGGCTTGACTAAGCATGTTATTGTTTTAAGGCTTTAAACTGAGCTGTGCTTAGACAAAAAATTTAAACTTGAAAGCCAAGAGGTTTCTCAATATTTTGTTTTTAAAGAAAACGATGATTAAAAGTACTGTAATTATGAACATAACTGTCAGATTGAATCGAAAACAGTGATCAGTCTCCAGACATTTGCTTTCCCTGTCAAGTGAAAGAGAACATTTTTACAAGAGTGCGAAATCACTTTGGGTTTTCTCATGGGTACACAATGCATTCCTCCAACTTTATCCAGGTATATTTTGAAACAATGTTTCAATGACATTAGGTACATTGCCTCCATGGCAATAGGAACAGTTCTCCACTGGCAATAGGTACAATGTTTCAGTGACATTAGGTACATTGCCTCCAGGGCAATAGGAACAGTTCTTCACTGGCAATAGGTACAATGTTTCAGTGACATTAGGTACATTGCCTCAATGGCAATAGGTACAATGTTTCAGTGACATTAGGTACATTGCCTCAATGGCAATAGGAACAGTTCTCCACTGGCAATAGGTACAATGTTTCAGCGTCAATTGGAATAATGTTTTCATGTCTGTAGGAACAATGTGTAATGGACATGTGAACCTATCTTCAATGGATAAGTTACAGTTATTCATTGTATTAGACACAGTGCTTCACTGTTATAAAGCACAATGCTTCAATGGCAACAGCATGGTGTTTCAATGTGTTAGACACAGTGCTTCAATGTTATTAATCACAGTGTTTCAATGTGTTAGACACAGTTCTTCAATGTTATTAATCACAGTGTTTCAATGTGTTAGATACAGTGTTTTAATGTTATAAGGACAATGCTTCAATTGCAATAGGCACAGTGTTTCAATGTGGTATACAGAATGCTTCAATGTTATAATCACAGTGTTTCAATGTGTAAGACATTATGCTCAATGTTTCAGTATTATTAAGCACTGTGTTTCAATGCCAATAGGCGCAATACTAATTGTGTTTGACACAGTGTTGCAATGTTATTACCGGTATATGCACAATATTTCAATGGCAATAGGTACAGTGGTTTAATGTCTTAGACACAATGCTCCAACATCATTAAACACTATCTGTTTCTCGCTACATGAGGGTTACACTGATGAGACATCAACATTCAGGAGTTAATGCTTGAATTGCACCTCGATTACTTAATGTAATAGGGGGCACGGGTGGCCGTGTCGTCTAAGGCGCCGCGATTTGAGTTGCGTCCCTTGGGCCTATGATTGTGGGTTCGATTCCCGGTTCGCCCCGATTATGTTTCTAGGTTTGTCAGCACCATACCCGTGCTCGTGGGTTTCACCGAAGTGGTAAACGTCTGAGACCTGCATCACTTCGGGCTTTCCTCCCACATTAAGCTGACACGCCGCGATATAACTTGAATACTGTTAAAAGCAGCGTTAAACCTAACTCACTCACTCACTCACTTAATGTAATAGCATGTACAGTGCTTCGTGAACTTGTAACAGTTATTTTGAAATGTATTTCTGCATGTGTCAGGATCTTCTCACAAATATTTTATTCATAGTGTGATCAGAAGTATGAAGCCCAATATGCTGGTGTTCCCCACTATGATATTGCTGGAATAGTGCTAAAAGCTATACTGGATACTTGGATCATTACCTGGGGAGACAACTCTCTGACCTCAAGGCATTGTGTTGGGTTCAAAACTGTTGGCCCACACCACCTGGCTGTGTAGCTGGTCCAAGCCGTATCACATACCTGCAGCCATTATGAATCTGATCATGGAACAGAACACCAACCCACTCACTCACTCACTCACTCACTCACTCACTCACTCACTCACTCACTCACTCACTCACTCACTCACTCACTCACTCACTCACTCACTCACTCACTCACTCACTCATGTAGTAGCTATGGTAGTAGTAGTAATGCCATATGCACATCAGAAATACCGTTACAGTGTTGTACTTGTTGTTGTTTCTCAGTCTTCACTGTCCAGAGTTGTGTCCCTTTGCAGCCAGGGGTCACTGGTTCTGGGTTCAAATCCCAGACTATGCTCCTGTTGGGATCCTTGGTGTTTCTGCACCTGAAGTTCACTAGTATACTTAAGGACAGGCCTAGACAGTAGATTATCATTAACGATCACTGCTGCACCCATGAGTGTACCATATCTGACGTAATAAACGCCAAGGGCGCTCTCAAAATTAGAAATTATAGAATATATTATTAGAATATAATTTTGGTGAGAGAAAAAACAGAGTTGAAAGATCATAAATTTTGTGGTTTATGCTGACAGCCTGAAATGATACAAAAGAAAAGTCTGTGCTTGTTATACACGACAGATATATTTCCGGAATTTAATTACCCACAATTGAGGGTGCTTATAACACTCAAGTGCATATTATACACGAATAAATAAGTGTACATTGATCAATCGGAAGGGGTGCTAATTGGGATTGTTCACTAGCCAATATATTAGCAAATATTGCTATTCACGCTTATTAGAGCAGAGCGCTTATTACCGGTAGGTCAAATACGGTAATTGATAGATCATGATGCCCTGCTGCTTAGACACATGCGCAGACGCTCTTATCAGAGGACTTCTGTTGTAAACAATCTTACACAATGCTTGAATGCTGACAGTTAATCCCTTCGCTTCCCCTCAAACCCACATGATGACATTACACTGATATTTCGAGTATCAGGCTGAGCACAATCAAAATCTACATCATATTGCTTCAGGGGAACAATCAGAAGATAGGTAACAAACTTGGTCAATGAAAATGTGAAAATTGCATGTTCATTTTTATTAACACCTATAGTAAGGGGCCAGCCTTCATATTCTGGTAGGGAGGGTCCTTTGATTTATTTTTTACAAAAATTAATGTTACCAGAAAAGCTGAAGAAATATATGTCCTCAAGTTTTACAACCACAACAAAACAATTCACTGAACATGAGTGTTCTGAACAAAACTATATGGTGCCTTTCAGATAAGGGGTTGGGTTGCCTAGTTAAAGCGTTCACTCGTCATGCCAAAGAACTGGGTTCAATTCCCAACATGGGTACAATGTGCGAAGCCCATTTATTGTGTCCCCCGTCGTGATATTGCTGACATTTGCTAGTATTGACGTAAAACCATACTCTTTCACTCACTCCTTTCATAGAAAATAATTGTATATCTCGAATCACTAACTGAAAAAAACACTCTTACAAAAATTCCCAGGTCTGGTCAGCCCTGAAGTGGAGCTTTGGATACATGTATTATGACACACTGAACTCTGTATTTCAGACGAACCAGGGCACAATTACATTCACCGAGGAGGAAGAACGTTCAGCCATCGTGACGACATGCCACCAGGTGGCTATGACTCCAGTGATGAAGAGATACGCGAGAGTGGTGCCGGAATCCTGGAATTCTCTCCTGCAAAAGCAGGCCAAGATGTCACCCCAGCCAACTTTGACTTTGAGCCAAAGGATGAGAAGAAACGATCTGGAACAGGGCTATCTTCTATTGCAGGTACCGTCAAACAAGGTATCGGTATATATATTCAGATTATCGTAGCTTGTAGGTTTTCCTTCAACTAGGAGTTGCACGTAGGTATTGTTCATATTCGTCTTTATTGCTTCAGTTAGACCACGCCTTTTTTGTCTTTGTTAGGCGGTATAAGTGGAAAAATAAAATGAGAGGTTTTGCGAATACCTGTCAAACCTACATATTCTCTTCCCCCAAAACCAAGAAGTATAAAAGGCATTGTCTCACTGATGTAATATAGGTTGTTATTCCACAACTATATAAAAAATGTTTGGATCATGAATATTTTGGGGGATATTTTTGTGTTCACCCTTCATTACTAAAAAGGACTATCCCCCCAAATAGTAATGATCCCAAACTTTCTTTGTTCAGTATAGTTTTATGCGTTTAGCATTCTTGTCTTCTGTTGAAGCAAGTTATCTCCCTTTTATCTGAGCTAGAAAATGGCTGTTACCATGGCTTTGAAGTACTGGTATGTAATTTGCACATAAAACAGTTCATGCTTTGTAGTTAGTTTGATGCATTTGCACTTTTTGTAGAAACTTAGTCTGATAGAGGTTTGAAGAATTATAACTTTTTTACATTTTCTCTATATAGCCACAAGTATTTTTGTAAATCATTGTGTAAAAATAGTAATCCCACTAATGGTAAAATAATCATGTATTTGTTGTGGATGCTATTATTCCAGTCTCATTAAAATCAGATATTTTACACCAATTCAACACCTCTGACAGTCAGTGTTTGAAATAAAACAAGTTGCCAGGATGCCATCAGGAACCACAGACTTTAGAAACTGCAGAACTCTCCAGGCCATCATTTAAGAAAACTGCTGCTTATTGTGACAAATATAACAAAACAAAAATTCAAAATATACAAGGACCCATACAACTTTGAAACTACGGGCCCGACATGAGATCTTCCTGCCATCAGCCAACAGGCAGACACTTATTTAGAAGACTGCTGACAATTCCTCCATAGGATGTTATGTCATGTGATCTATCTAATGATCCAATCAGAATCAAGGCATTCAGGGCAGACCAAATGATGCCTCGATAACAAACAATATCAACCAGTTCGGAATGGAATTACTTCAGTAGATATTTCATACAGCTTTTGTTTCTAAGCACCATGGCGTCTTCACCCGGTATATTTGTGTTCTGTGTGGGTTTTCTTTTCTTCAAATTAAACTTTCTAAATCATGATGGTAAGGAAATAAAGCATTCATTTTAGGTGAGGTTACATAGCGACGTGTATGCACATGTGTGTGTGACTGGTTAAAGTAGTCCAGACTAATGCCGATTTTATAGTGCTAGCTCACTGAGATACCATGCCGCAGTTTAACATGAATACCCCACTCAGACACAGTGTACTGACTCCAAGCCGACCAGTCCTATTTTAGCCCCTTAATGCAGAGTGCCAGACGGGTAACAACAAGTACCATCGTTTAATGTCTCTGGGTATGATGCCGCCGGGTATCGGACCCCTGACCTTCCTCTCTCCTGGCGGACACTCTGCCAATAGGTCACAGAGGCAGTCCTATTCATTTTAGAAAGCTGCCTTCTGATACGAAGAAGAATCTACTCATCAATCATATAAATTGGGTTGTCAAAGTTTGAACAGGCTTCACATGATACAACCTCCTATGGAGGGTCTCAGATCTTCAAATAGAGAGGTATTGTAACGGAGCAAGAGATCCGATTTTAAATGAGCCTGGTGTTATTCAGACATTATACGACACTTAGTAAGCCTGATTGGGTAACACTACACAGATCTAAAAGAACATACAGTACCGTAGTCTGACGACTAGTCATGACACTAGACAAGTCTATTCTTCACAATGTGAGAATGATTCAATCGACTCGAAGCAAAAGCTAACATTTGATCTCCCTGGTCGAGTTAAAAAAAGAAAAAGTTAATGAATCCACTGACTCAATTGAAATGTAAAGATAAGGTCAAATGAAAAGCTGACCAGAAATGAGTAACATTTAAAAAACCCAATACATTTACTGTCACTATCAATATAAATATTTTATTTATGATGTTATAATATGCATGCATTAAACAGCCAATCCAGCCTGGACCTTGTTGTTTTTTTCCAATTCCTCCCAACCCCAATCTAATTAACATTTTGAGGAAATCACCACAAATATATTTGAAATTATTAAATAATTTTTTTTGCCAAAATATCGGAACCACTACCCTACCCCCTACGCCCCAACCCAACCCAAAATTTCTGGCCCTATTGCAGTTTTGCATCCATTACTTTATATTTCTCTGCTTGTTGATGTTATGAACTTGAACATCTTTCAATAACTGGTCAAAATATTGAAACTTTTCAAAGCAGTCTTTGCCTGCAGGTGGATTTATTGGATGATGTCTTCGCTGCTAGAACTTTACATTTTAATAAGGTCCCTTTTACACTAAAGATGTCAATTTCAAAAATCTTGATTTATGACAAATGGGATGTGTTCATTCTTAGCATCACAAAAACCCATGTATATCTTCACAGGAACCTTGAATTAATGCAAAACATGTGATTGTATTTTTCAGGTGCTCTGTGCAGTGTAAATACGCTTGTTAATGCAATGACCGGGAGATATGACGGGAGCAAGAAGTCATCGGAGACGGCACCGTTACTACAGGAGCAGAGCGCCAGTCCGGAGCCACCGGTGAGACAAACTATCAACTAACTTTGAGTTTATTTTGAATTATTTTGAATAATTATTGGAATTATGAATGTAATGTTAAATGTTTTTCACATTTCTGTCATTTTTATTAGAGTACTTTGGTTATGTATTTGTAATTTAAAGGGAGAGAACTCTGGTACTAGTTGTTATATCAGACTTGGTTACAGACTCTACATCCAATTTATGGGCGGATACAGTCGGGGGGGTGCACACACCCCCCCCCCCCCCCCCCCCCCTTTTTATTTCGAAAAAAATCTTTTTTTCTGTATAAATTACCACCAAAGACAATAAATAGATCTTAAGTGTGCACCCCCCCTTTTCAAAAAAGCTGTATCCGCCCATCCAATCAGTGAGCTTGCTTGTGTTTAATTTCAGCACAAAGTTGCTTCAAGCTCTAGCGTGCCAAAATCCACGTCGAGTATGACACTTCCAGTATCCAGTCCTTCCAGTCTGTCACAGTTCGAGGATGCCGGGCAGCCAATACTTCATCCACAGATAGTCCTTCCCGACGGCTCCCTGCATGCACAACACTCCAGTCCTGCTGAGGTCGAGAAACGCCTCGACGAACTTGCAAAGTAAGGTCAAAGTCAATGACCTTGTACAATAGATCCATATACTTTTGCTGTTGATGTTCATGTTTACATGATGTCAATCACTGGATTGTCTGGTCCAGACTTAATTTTTTCCAGACCGCCGTCATATGGCTGGAATATTGCCAAGTGCGCGTTAATCAACAAACAACAAACTGTGCCATTAAGGTCAAGAAACGCCTCTATGAACTTGCAATGTAAGGTCAAGGTCACTGATGTACTGGTTGGTATGGCTACTCCTCAATCAATCTACATGTTTCTATTGCGTCTGCTTCTTAATCAATATACATGTTTCTATTGCGTCTGCTCCTCAATCAATCCACATGTTTCTACTGCATCTGCTCCTCAGTCAATCCACATGCTTCTATTGCGTCTGCTCCTCAATCAATCCACATGTTTCTATTGCGTCTGCTCCTCAGTCAATCCACATGTTTCTAATGCGTCTGCTTCTTAATCAGTCAACATGTTTCTATTGCGTCTGCTCCTCAATCAATCCACATGTTTCTATTGCATCTGCTCCTTCTCAATCAATCCATATGTTTCTATTGCGTCTGCTCCTCAATCAATCCACATGTTTCTATTGCATCTGCTCCTTCTCAATCAATCCATATGTTTCTATTGCGTCTGCTCCTCAATCAATCCACATGTTTCTATTGCATCTGCTCCTTCTCAATCAATCCATATGTTTCTATTGCATCTGCTCCTCAGTCAATCCATATCTTCTATCGCATCTCCTCTTCCTAAATCCAAATGTTCTATTGTGTCTGCAGTTCAATCAATCCACATGTTTCTATTGCGTCTGCTCCTCAGTCAATCCACGTTTCTAATGCGTCTGCTTCTTAATCAATCCACGTTTCTATCGTGTCTGCTCCTCAATCAATCTACATGTTTCCATTGCGTCTGCTTCTTAATCAATCCACATGTTTCTATTGCGTCTGCTCCTCAATCAATCCACATGTTTCTATTGCATCTGCTCCTCAATCAATCCACAAGTTTCTATTGCATCTGCTCCTTCTCAATCAATCTATATGTTTCTATTGCGTCTGCTCCTCAATCAAGCCACGTTTCTATTGCATCTGCTCCTCAGTCAATCCATATCTTCTATCGCATCTCCTCTTCCTAAATCCATATGTTCTATTGTGTCTGAACTTCAATCAATCCACATGTTTCTATTGCATCTGCTCCTCAATCAATCCATATGTTTATATTATGTCTACTCCTACACAGGCAACTGTCTCGCCTGGAGCACAAGATGAGCTCCGACATCGCATTGATTCTGGACATCCTCCGCCAGCAGGGCAGTAGAACTGTCTCACCGAGCGGCACGGCAGAGATGCCCGAGAACAACCTACCCCCGCCCCCGGACATCTACCCTGCTCCTGACTACGACAGCGGTTTTGAGTTTCCCCCACCCCCAGTTGTGTTCCAGCCACACTCACACCAGGAAGAGGTAAAACTAGCACTAGACCTGTACAGTGTAACCTCATTGATCTCGACAGTACCTTTCCTAGTGAAATTGTTTGGATTCACAGGTTATTGATTCATGGATGTATTGTGAGTGAGTATGGTTTGACGCCGCTTTTAAAGTACTGTCGGAAATGCTAGAAAACTGCTTTTTTCCTGTTAAAAAGGGATAATTTTTTCCACAGACTGTTGTTATTGAAATATCGAATAACTACCAATCGCTCTACCTGTGTTTTGAAGTATTTCAGTCACAAGGAGTCCTATCGACAAGTTTACAGGAGACAAATTCGAACGAAAACATGAAGTTCACATTTATTCTAAGTCCAATGATGGCAGTCTGAAACAGACTGTAGAAATATGCGCATGTGACTCCGTTACAATGATAATAATGAAGTCTTCATAAAACATCTACTCTACATACAAAAATCATTTTGAGAAAATTCTAGATGTGCATCTTCTAAAATGACAAAATGAAGCTGCATTTTTTTGGTTAACATTTCTCCCATGATGCATGTTACATTACACTTGCATAGCAATAACCAAGGTACACGATATGGAATCTGTACTTGGAAATGCATACAAGTTCTTTACACTTTAGAGAGATAGAGGGAAACCATTTATTAATTTAGATAGGGTGAATTACCAAACTACCCAAGCTATGGTATTTTGAATTCATACAATCAAGTCTACGGTATGATAAGAAAACAAAACAGGTATAGGGCGTAAAAGCATTTAGACAGCTTTGATACAGGGTGATTAGGCGTATAGTGTACAAGCTTTATGAGCAGAAGGTAACCCTGACTTGTAGTAGAATTTTGGAGGAATTAAAGATACACTTAATGTTTCCCGGACTGCACTATTGCTCACCACGAGATGGCATTCCGATACACTGTGCGTGGCGATGACCGAGCACTTTTCAGGGGAAAATATTCCATCCTGTCTATGAGGTCACATTATCTCCGAACCATTCATAACTATCACAGTCAGGGCGTCCAGATAATTACCCCGGTGAATCATTCCACTGACCACATGTGGCTATTGGCAGATGGCCAAAAAGCACCCATGGTACCATCAGGTCAAGGAAATCGTGTCATTGTTTTGCACGCTGCAACCAATGATATGGGGCTTATTGATGGATGTTTTCGAGGCTGGTGATTTTCATAAGGAAATTATAGGAGGTGATGTGTTCATAGACTGGTTGGAACTTAAGCTATTGCCCATTTTAAACAACATGAGTGTGATTGTCAGTTAATATAACGTCCGAGATTCAGATACTGTCGCCCAAACCATGAGTAGTCTGAAGGCGACCATTCAGAAATATGGGTTTTTCAGATTAAAAACGATGTTTTATTGGTCTGTTTTCAGTCGTACAAATGGGTATCTCTCATACCCTCACGTCTAGTCGCACGTTTAGAGGAAGCCAGAAGCTGGAATGTAAACATTAAACTTGTTTCCGTCCGGTTGCGCACGCACCTCCCTATGACATGTCACAAATCTCGAAGAATAAGCCATCAAGCAGGACTGGACTGGATTACTTCCCTGTGGGGATGGCTGGGTGGGAACGTACGACTAAAAACAGACCAATAAAACATCGTTTTTAATCTGAAAAACCCATGTTTTAGTCTGTTTTCAGTCGTACAAATGGGTAGAATTCGACGGAACACTGGAAGGAGGGTCGGGAAAATAATCAGGCAGTGACCACTTTCACGTCGAATGTACCAAGTTCCTCACCCCTGTAGTGACAATAGAACATTCGACCAGATGCACGGACGAGACAAGTTGTTTATCACGAACGCACAGCATGGTTAATGCTCTTCGACACACAACTAATTATCGATGCGACAGACAAACTGCACGTGTCAGTTGAACTGCGATCGAAGTGTGGTCGACGAATAGTTTAGTTACAGAGCAACTCGCAGTATACAAGGTAATTAAAATAGCATGGGTAATGCTCATCGACACACAACTAATTATCGATGCGACAGTACAACTGCACACGTCAGTTGAACCCGGATCGAAGTGTGGTCGGCGCATAATTTAGTTACAGAGCAACTCGCAGTATACAAAGTAACTAAAGAATACGAGCAGTATTACAATGTATGGGAAGACGATGCATACACCGAATAACCATAATAAAAAACAGAAGTACTACACGCAACAAAAAACCATACGAATGCGTACATTCACCAACAGCTTTTATTGTAACCTGTTATATGTCACGAAGTGTCGAGCAAAAACTCCAAAGTGAATAAAACACAAATTTACTGTCTTTTCTGAGAGATCTGTTGTGCCACCACGAGTGGACCAAACTGTTTGAGTCCTTCAACATCTTCTGTGGAGATATCTCTAAGATAATGCGAAGCAAACACTGAAGTAGATCTCCAAAAGCAGCCCTCCATAATAGCTTGTAGCGAACAATTACTGTGGAATGCTAATGTTGAAGCGATGGCTCGAACTTCGTGCGGATGAGAGGAGGTGGGAGGTGCGAGTCCTTGCGCCTCGTAAGCTCTGAGAATTACCGCTCTCAACCAAAATGAGAGAGTATTACGTGTAATCTCTTTCTTTGCATTGGTTGAGAGCGGTATGAACAGCCGTCGAAAATGTTGTCGTCGCTGTTCAGAACGCTGCAGGTAAATACGAAACGCACGAACTGGGCACAAGGTGAGATCAGCGTGATCACGAGGGCCCATAATGGCAGACAAGGAAGGAATGTTGAACATTCTCGGATCTTGGCCAGGAAGTTAATTTTTCCCTAAAAAATCCCATCGGAGACCAAGATGGACGTCACAATCCATCGTCGACGTCGAGTGTGGAGGCGTAGATGAAGGAGCTGCTGTACTAGTTGACGGGCCATGGACCCCTGACGTAGTCGTATCCTTCTTGGTCGACGCCGTTGAGGCGAGGACCGCCGCCGTGTCTGGGCTATCAAAGCCGGGTCGATATGAAAGTGAGACGAGGTCGTCGTTCTGTCACTATCTTCACTACGACGCTGAACCCCCAAACTCTCCCTGCGAGAACGTCGCACGTCCCCGTGGGGACGAGGGCTACGATCTCTAACCGTAGAAGTACTACGATCCCCATTGTAGAATAGTTGACGGGCCATGGACCCCTGACGTAGTCGTATCCTTCTTGGTCGACGCCGTCGAGGCGAGGACTGACGCCGTGATCTGGGCTATCAAAGCCGGGTCGATATGAAAGTGAGACGAGGTCGTCGTTCTGTCACTATCTTCACTACGACGCTGAACCCCCAAATTCTCCCTGCGAGAACGTCGCACGTCCCCGTGGGGACGAGAGCTACGATCTCTAACTGTAGAAGTACTACGATCCCCATCGTTGTTATCCTTGCCATGGTTACGCTGATCGAACGTAATCCGACCGACGTCAATGGCATGTATTTCCGTAATTCTCGCAGCCGTAGCCAGCGAGAGAAGGAAAAAACGTTTTCTGAGACAATAAGTCGAACGCGACCTGATCGAGAGGCTCGTAAGCCTGACTAGACAGGATGCGCAGAACGACATCGAGGTCCCAGGCCGGCGGTCGGAATTTACGTGACTGATCTTCAACCATGAAGGCACGTAGAATCTTCTGCAACTCCGGTACGGTAGTGAGCTTGTCGCCCGTAGGAGACGGCACTACTGAAGCCAAAGCTGCCAGATATGTCGAGATCGTCGACCCTTTCAGACGCCGAGATGACCGGAGAGAGACTAGGAACTCCGCCACCTGTGGTGGGGTCGCTACCGCCGGGTTGAAGCCATGAGACCTGGCGAAAATGGAGAAAGTGGTCCACTTGTTATCTTACAGCTTACGAGTGGTAACTCGATGTGCCGACGAGACAAGCGCTGCCGCTTTAGCCGAATAGCCTTTCTTCATTAACGAGGTCTTAAGCAAACCCAGGCGTGAAGCTGGAAGTTCTTTATCCCCGGATGCAAGTCGTCGGTGTGAGGATGTAGAAGGAGGTCGTCTCGATCTGGCAACGGGAACGGTGGTTGAACGATGATCTGAAGAAGTTCCGGGAACCATGTTCTGGCCGGCCAATAAGGCGCGACCAAAAGCAGACGTAGGTTGGCCGTTTGACGAACTTTCACCAGTTGCGATGGTAACAGCACCGTTGGTGGAAACGCGTAAGCGTCTAGACCCCCCACGATATCGCTAGAGCGTCGTGGTCCCATGCCCATGGGTCTGGAACCGGCGACACGAATCGAGGGAGGCGGTTGTTGTACGGGGCAGCAAAGAGATCTACTTGGGGCAACCAGAGTCGATCTGTCAGCAGATGAAAGACTGTCAGATGGATCATCCACTCCGTGGGAGACGGCCTCGATGGTCTCGACAGGGCGTCGGCAATCACATTCTTGGCCCCCCGGATGTGACGGGCGCGTACGCCCATGTCCAAGTCGTCGACGAGGGCGAAGAACCTGAATGTCCGGTCCAGAAGGGCCGCCGACTGAGTTGTTCCCTGTTTGTTGACGCAGAGGACGACTGTGGAGTTGTCCGACTGTATCATCAGCCGTTTCCGACGGAGTCGAAGTTTCCAAAACTCGACCGCCCGAATCACTGCTTCCATCTCGAGGTAGTTGATGTGGAGGACCTTTTCTACTGGCGACTACCGCCCGGCCGCTTGGTCGTCCCCGAAGTGCGCTCCCCAGCCTTCCAATGACGCGTCTACGAATAGGTGTAGTATGAACGGAGGCTCGCTCATAAAGACGCCCTCGCAAACGTTCGACGGCTGGAGCCACCACTCCAAATGACAACGTAGCTGCGCCGGAAGTGGAACCAGGAGATTGGGAAACTCCAGGTGGGGGTACAGCAATCTCTGCAGTGGACGAAGTTGAAGACGACCTCGACGGGTCAAGTCTTGGGCCGATGTCAACAGACCGAGGACTTTCTGTCACGTGTGCACCGACGACGAGGCATGTAGACGTCACGGAACGCTGCTGACAATCTTGTCCCAACGGTCTTGAGGTACCTGGACCAGATTGACTCCCGTCTAGAAGCGTATCCTAATGTACTGTAGAACCCGAGGTGGTACCAAGTCCGACTTTTGAAAGTTGACGATCCACCCGAGGTACCGTAGTAGACTCAGGGTGGTCGCCAACTCACCTTGAAGGGCTACTGTAAACTGGTGAGCTTGGAGCCCGACGTCTAGGTAGAAGGCGACCCTGATCGCCTGCCGATGGAGCCATTCTACGACCGTCTTCATGATCCGTGTGAAAAAGCACGGGGCCGTAGAAATTCCAATCGGGAGGGCCGCCCACTGGTAATGAATACCTTGGCATTCGAATCGGAGGTACTTCTGGAACTCGGAAGCTATTGGTACATGTAGATACGCGTCCTGAAGGTCTAACGAGACGAGGAAGTCGTTCGGTAATATCATCCGACGCAGAGAGCTGAGGGATGTCAAGTTGAATGTGTCGGGTGGTTGGAGGTATGTTGCGTTGAGGAAAACCCACTTGTGGGCATAGTGACGAAGTCGCCCCCCTACCGGTAGCTCGTCTAAAGGTAGTGTCACCGGGGGAGACTCTAACCACGGCGACGGCGGGGGAAGGGACCTCACTTCCTCCCCCGCTGGTACTTTCCCCCTCTGGGAAACTTGGAAAAGGAGACCTGGCGACCTTTCCTGTCGGAACCTCCCTTGCGGGACGGCTGTCGAGGCACGTCCCTACGGAAAGCCCGTTGCACATTCTCGTTTCGGTAACGTCGTCGTGGGGCGTTCGAAACCGGTGGCCGTCTGGACAGGTTGGGTGAAGCCGAAATGATGATGTCACGCTCGGCTTCCCTGGAGTACTTGTCCAGAACGTCGTTGGTACGACCGTCGAACAACTGTTGCGATGTCCACGGGGCCCGTAAGAGTGACCTGCCATGACGATCAGGTAGGTCAGTGCAGTCGATGTAACCATGGCGACGCGCCGTAGTAATCTGGCCCGATACATATCGGGACTGGGCGAGGACGTCCTAGATCCACCGTTGCATACAGGTGAGGACCGATGGCACCGTCCTGTCGTCCTCGTCCTGGGGTTCTTTCGCCGCAAAGTACACTGAGAGGGCCTTGATCGCTGTCGACAGCATAGCAAGCGTTTGCAGCTGGTGACGAACAGCAGTGCCCATGGATTCCAAATGTGGAGGGTGCTGGTCTCTTGAAGAGCAGCCCCCAGTCCAAATCCCTAGTCATGGGTGACGAAAACGGCATGCCATAGATCGGGTAACGAGATCGACCAGGCGGCTTGCAGAAGCTCTGCCCAGGCAGAGCAGAGCCAAAGTTCTGGTCCATATCGTGAGCCATGGCTCTGAAGACATCGGGAGGAGAAAACTGAAGAGACTGCGGTGTATCCGAATCGTACATTCGACGACCACGATGACGATGGACACCCTCGTGTCGTGTACTGTCTCACGAAGAGGCACTCATCCTGTCGTCCCAACTTGAACGGGAACGACTTCTGTGTCCACTGTCGTCCCGCACGACGTCCCTATCGTCGTTGGTAGAACGAGATGCGGACCGACTGGGGACCGTAGTCCCCTCATGGTCCTCGTCACCACCCGGTCCCGTCGTAACGGGGGAGGCTGAGTGACGCTCTCGATCAACCGAATGACGAAGACCAGTCGTGCGGGTAGTATCATCAGCAGGCGAACGGTCACGTGTCGAAAGCTGAAGTTGACTGAGGCGGGTCTTTTTCAACTGATTTCTGAGGTGTGGTCGACTCGCCACCCCCAGGGCCTGATGCGGAGGGTGCAGAGTCCAAGGATCCAACCGATGACCATATCCGCTTGTAGCGCTGGTCAGCGGCCTGCTTCGCCAACGCACGAAGATACAAGTTAAAGTTTATTGAAGACAAGTTCTCACATTTTTTACAACGTTTATTCCACGAATACGTTGAAAACCCGTCCTTAATGATGCAGGAAGGACAATACTTGTGAGGGTCTACTTTAGACAGTTTTCGTTGACACGAGGCACAAATGCCCGACATATTGCCACGTGTAGAATCACTGTCAAACAGCGAAACACGCGTTGAACACAAACAATGGATTACCCAGGATTACATTCCAGGAGTCTACAGGTAAGACATATTATGACTTTATTAGAACAACTGTAGATAAGCGATAAGTACTAGTAGAATACAAACTAGCAGTCTACCGCGAAAGACTTTCTCGAGCGACCAGCGCAGAGGCGCGCTGAGATATTTGTGGCATGTCATAGGGAGGTGCGTGCGCAACCGGACGGAAACAAGTTTAATGTTTACATTCCAGCTTCTGGCTTCCTCTAAACGTGCGACTTGACGTGAGGGTATGAGAGATACCCATTTGTACGACTGAAAACAGACTAAAACATATGACATTGGTCGACTTCAGACCATATGAAATGAAAGTTCAACTCATGGAGAAAATTCGTCTGAATAAGAAACTAGTAAAGTACAAGACATATGTGCTGGCGGCACAACACGGTTACGTTGTCTTACGTACGGCAGTCAGACATTGTGAGCTCAACCCTGTTGTGTCTATCTTGGCTAAATGTACAGGGTTCGTGGCAAGACATAACAACATTCAAAAGTACAGATTCATATACTTCATCAGCGGAGATAAATGCTACCTCAAGAAACCATCTGTAGAACAACAAATACTTCTGGATTCCAAAACCGCAACCTTCTAAAACTCATCCCGTTTCATAGCTCTTAGGGGCGGTCGGGTAGCCTAGTGGTTAAAGTAGTTGGTCACGCCGAAGACCCGGGTTCGATTCCCGACATGGGTACAATGTGTGAAGCCCATTTCTGGTGTCCCCCGGCGTGATATTGCTGGAATATTGCTAAAAGCGGCGTAAAACCATACTCACTCACTCACTCACTCATAGTTCTTAACTGGTCCGTCATGTTTCCAAGCAAATATAATGCAGTACATATCCTAAATTGCTACCTCATCAATGCATGTCAATGAAGTACAATAACAGCAATATTTTAGTCTACCCGACCACCCCATCATGTTTATATGGACCATCCCAACAAGAACATAGCATGGTTTCTGGACCAAACAGTTCCACTGTAACCTGATCCTGATCCTGATACTGATCCTGATCCGGAAGAGGTCAGAATGAAGGATACTTTACAAAAGTGATGTAGTCGGAATCACACGATGGACTCTTGATTATGGAAATGGTTTTGTCAATTTTATTCAATTTCAAACCCTTACAGAAGAGATGGGAGAGTTTCGATAACATTGACAACATTACAAAGGGCTTGCTATTCTTAGTACTGGAGTTACAGATCAGTTGGGCCATAATCTGTGTTCTTTGGTGCTCTTTGATGCTGGTTCTCTTGCTTTGTGATTGACAACTAATTTCAGAGAGAGCTGTACATAACTAATTTTGAAAATGTTGTGAAAGTTACCTTTATAAAAAGTTTAATTCAACACTTTTAACTTTTTTTCAGGGCGGAGTTGGTCCCCCTTCTTCAGGTGACTGGCAACGCACAGAACCCCCTTATACCCATCATTCCACTTTCAAACCTCCAAGCCAATCAGATTCAATACCTGCATCTGCCAGCCAAGCAGATCCAACAACAGATCCCAACCAATCAGGTCTTTCATCCGCCATAGCCAACCAGTCCGAGGCTGAGATACCCGAAGTCAAGCTGCCCCCGTCACCACGGCAACAGAGACAGTTGGGTGAGACGGAGGGCCTGGACGTGAGAAACACGAACGTTTGATAGTAACCTCTCGAGGGCAGCACACTCTGTTGGTGATATGGAGGCAGATATGTGTTCTGGCAGACAATAGTGGGGAGGTGTCACTAGGGAATAACATGAGTGGTATGTCTAGCAGAGACCAATGGAACAGTTTATACAAATGTTGTGTGGAAATGGCAAATGAGAGGACCAGTTTGGATGTTCAAATAGAGATTGCAGTTTTAGCAAGAACCTTGTTGATTATGAAGAACAGCATTCTGGGAAAGGATTGAAAAGGAATGTCAATTGTTTCTACATAATTTGCCAAGTTAATTTTGTGTTAAAGGAAGGTTTCGGAACTGCTTCAATCTTCTCGGGAGCAAGACTGGACAGAGAGCAAGAAAACTGAAACTGAGAACACTTGGTTGAAATTACTGCCAAGGCTGTTGTGTGTTTCTATGTGATTTGTGTGATATCTACATGCAAATACTGACTGCACTGTACATGATACAAGTATGTGTTGAAAGAATTCTCTGTTGCTGTGTTCTTCACGCCAAGATACGATGTATATTCAATAGTGGTGAATAACTCTTCATAATGCATAGACAAGTGAATAACTCTTCTTAATGCATTGCCAAGTGAATAACTCTTCTTAATGCATAGACAGGCAAATAAAACTTCAAAGTGCAAATAGACATGTGAATAACTCTATAATACATAGATAAGTGAATAACTCTTCATAACACTTAGACAAGTGAATAGCTCTTCTTAATGCTCAGACAAGTGAATATCTCTTCTTAATGCATAGACAAGTGAATAACTCTTCTTAATGCATAGACAAGTGAATATCTCTTCTTAATGCTCAGACAAATGAAAAACTCTTCTTAATGCTCAGATAAGTGAATAACTCTTCTTAACGCATAGACAAGTAAATAACTCTTTATGATGCATAGCCATGACACTCTACATCTGTGTATATTTCATAGATCATGAATGTTGCTATGATATGTGTCAGAGATTCTGCTGTCAACATTTATATAACAAGATACTGCATCTGTTGAATGAGACTTCTTACACAGTCAGTACTTCCATTGTTATGCAGATCCCATTGGAATTATATATGGTCATTTAATAGGTTTACCATTATTGAAAAAACGTTTGCATTTTTTTACGTCTGTTTTCATCATTCTACAAATGTTGGATCTTTTTTTAATATGTTGTCTTTCTAAAAAGTCAAATTTGATTCTTAGTTTTGTGAAATTGTTTTTGTTGACAGTAATACCTCCAGTGCCAAAGAGTGAAGCTTTATGTTTTGTTAGTTTTCCAGTAATATGAGTAAGATGTCTGAATTTCCTCAAAATAACCCTAAAAACAATGACATCCACCTATGACTGGGTGCGCCACAGTATTACACTTGACATTACGATACACAGTTCCCTTCCTTCTATATAAATACATTTTATCCACAAAGTTATTTAATTATCTGTATCAGATTTTCAAAAAAAATATAGTGTTGTATATTCTGTTTTTTGGCATGTCCATATGACTAAATTTGACATAAAAAAACAGCTTCTATGTTAATTATTTTGTTATTTCAAGAAACAAATTTGTGTATTGTGAAAAAAGGTTCTGTGGTGATTCAGTAATTGAGAAATCATAAAGGGGTAAGTTGAGTCTACTCCTGAAAGAAACAAATTTTAGTGATTTCTCTGACTTAAACCTTGTTATGACTGATACCCTGGTATATAATTTCTCTATAATTTTACATAATGAGGTATATTTGCATAAGTTTTACTTGCAGAAAATGCATGCTGAGAATGCATGCTGCAACAACAATGGCGGGACATTATTGTTAGTTATTCAATCCTTCATATATACTTCCCATGGGATTTTGAAGTGGTAATTATGCCTGTATAACACCCGACTGTGACTGTGACATATAATAACAGTCATGAACATTGCAGTGATAACAGGAACGCATTGCCATCGACCAATAACGAAGTCATCTTGTGTGTTCCATATTCCTAATATCAGCGAGACAAGACTTTGCAGATGAAAACCCTCAATTGGGGCCAGGATGGTTTGATATCAGCCCCAAGCAAGGATTTTCTATCGCCAGATTCTAGTCCCACTTAACAATGAGTTGTGAACAGCCGTTTACTCTTCTTCAATGTGTGATATTACCATGTGTGACATGTACTCGTAGTTGCCATTTATTGTACTGAAATGTCCGCCAACTTCAGGTAGTTTCATTCGTCATGTACCGTACCCAATGTGAGATCTCATGAATGTAACAGGTGGAAGTCCATTGTTTAGGTTGGAGGATTCGAGGAGCAAGACAGTTCATCCCTGACATGCAGTGTATAATAGGAATGGTTAGGGACCGGTCACTTATTACAGGGATGGTGGCAGAAGTTTTTGAAGCACTATGTACAGAAAATAACTACCCTTGCCTGATGCTTGTCATAGTTTTGTATGACCTCCCCATGTACTTGTAAGTTTATTTACAACCCTCCCTGAAAAGACAAAATGCAAAAGCACTTTATGTTTTTTCATAAAATGTCAATGTCTTCACGAACCTCCCAAATAAGTGTAATAATCTTTTATACCCTCCCCTCGAGACTGTCCTATTTTGTGTTACCCCTACCCTATAATAAATGACCAGTCCCTTAAATGCAAATAAGCGGTGATAACTAGGACATAGAATAACTTAATACCTAGCAAGAGTATTTTCAATTTACAGCTATATTGATAAATGGACCATGGTCATGATAGCAATCTTGTTCCTGCTACGCTAGGGACTTGTGTAGGCCTTCTGTTTAGAAATGTTGACATGAAGCCATTTTGATGTTGTTTATATAAGAATACCTTGAAACAATGAATATAGTTTGAGTGAAATTCTAGTCCACAGGGCATTTGGTTTGTTTTTCATTTGTTGCTTTCAACACTTTTTCTACTATATTAGGAATATATTGTTCAGACTCTAGTCATGAGGGGCGGTCGGATAGCCTAGTGGTTAAAGTGTTCGCGCGTCACGCCCAAGACCCGGGTTCGATTCCCGACATGGGTACAATGTGTGAAGCCCATTTCTGGTGTCTCCCGCAATGATATTGCTGGAATATTGCTAAAAGCGGCGTAAAACCATACTCACTCATTCACTCTAGTCATGAGAGGCATCCTTGGATATTGTAAATTGTTGCAAAATCTTAAATTCATGTTTGGGGGTTCATATGGCATAAGGAACTGAATTGTTAGACCTTATGTGTTTAAGGACAGATCTAGCAAACTACTTTAAGACCAACACCTGATTCTTGATATCATTGGTAGATTATGATGTAATAAAGTTTGGGACTGGCTATTTGATATTGTGGATGGGAGTGGTGATTCAGCTGGGATATTGACACACAAATTTGATGTACTGTGTTATGAAAAAAATATGTTTGTCTAGCTTCATCTTTAAGAGAAAACAATCTTGTAGTAGTGATAAAAAATCCTTGAACCATTCGGGAGCCTGGGTCCGAGACAAGTTCATTGTTTTACTATCAGGGCTCGATTTAGCTATATTATAACATCCATCGGTGCAAGCTATTATTGAAAAATGCAACCTAATATTTATTTCTACATGCACTAAGTGGATGTAACAAAAATCATATTCTTGTCTTGTCTAACCATTTCTTGGCCACACAACATTGATTGTTGAACACATTCAGTACCTCTAAGGTTTATTTACCATATTACATAACTAATCCTTTTTAATTACTTAGGCCACACTTTGTTAATTTTACATTTCACAGATTTATTCCAGCTTTTCCACTCAAGGTCGGTAGAAATAAAAATAAATAGCTATGGCATTTATTATTTATTTATTTATTAATTATTTATTTATTTGTTTATTTATTTATATGGAAATGATTCTGCCTGAAATCAACTGCAGCTGGCTTCTTAAATCACTGATAGTGATGTAGACATGGAATTCTTATATAACATATTTTATAAGGGTCTATTAACTAGCTGGAGACATAATAAAAATCATTATTTTTATGTTTAATTTACATCTTTCCCGGCTGCTTTTTAGTTGGGGCAGCGGGCCATTGAAACGAAAAATAAGAAATGTGTGGCCTTACACTAGTTCATGCATCTCTGTTTCAACTTTGATAAATTTATAGGACCAGGGTGCTTCCTGGTTTTTGCTGGTGCAACTATCTTTTCATATCAACAAGCACCTGGTGCAAGTTAATCAAGTTCCTTAAATCGAGCCTTGACTTTATTTTAACAGGTGCTTGTGCTCTGGAGTGTGGCATGTCATACACCTGTGTTTAAGACCAAGAAACCATAAAGTTAGGAATAATAGCTGGAATAAGACGATGAATTATCAAAATAATTTCAGTTACCGGTATGCATATTTCTATCGATATTTAGACAATAGAACTTGAATCTAATACTCAAATTCTATGCTAAAACATAAAGTTAACAATTGTTGTTTTTAAGATGTAACTTGTGTTCTAAAATATTTGTGTTCATCGACATTCTGAAATATATGCTCCTATGCCACTTGCACTGATGAGTTCAGGGGGGATAACTCATGTGTCATCACCCTATGGTACAGTCCACTTCGACAAGCTTTGCCGGCAGCACAAGATTCTTCATAAATCTTATGTAATTGCTATTTGTTTTCTGGGATAATTTTATTTGAATTGGCTGATCCGTCAGTGCAATTGGCATGGATAATTATGTGGATTTTAGTGGAGCTTTAACTTGTAGACTATTGGCCTATCCTACTAGCAACGCAACAAGGCAGATCACGAGTACACAACGCAAAGAAACAATGGCACACCTTATTTTCAGAGGATTTATGTATAGTGAGCAATACCTCATATGTATATATAACCATTTGTACATTGTAAATTATGACAGCTTTTATTTTCAATTATGTGATATATTTCATTTTTACATAAGACTGTTTCTTTACTATTAAAGTTGTTCATTGTTCCTTTGTCCATGCCAAATGTATGTCAGGAGTTGTTTCCCTTGACAGTTTGTTACTGGTAGTTATCCCCCTTGGTAGGTTTTCATATTTGAATAGGGTTTTGTTTATAACTGTATTTATATGAATATCCCACATTCTGTCAACTTGTTTTAAAGTTTATGGATTTCCTAGTCAAAATAATTTTGCCAAATTAGTTTTAGTTGCTGTAAAATGAAGTCGGAACTCTTAGGGTATTGTATTCACCAGTGTTCTTCATGTTTCAAATGTATTCTGGGTGGCTCAGCCGTCTCAGGAACCACAACTTGATTACACTGGGATTTCCTGCTATGTTAGGCTGACATGTCGTGGTATAACTGAAATACTGTTCTAACTGGTGTTAAACCCAACTCACTCACTCACTCACTCAAATGTATTCCCACCATTACAAATTCAATTGTAAATTTCATTGTAAAAATACACAATCTAATTATCAGCACCTAGTATTAAAATCATTCATCATCTCATGACATTTTCTGGCACAAGTTTTTTGACATACACATTTAATTAACTTGTCCAAGAATGGAAAAGTGCAATAATATTATTTATTGGTTGACATTTCCTTAAATATCACCTCAGCAATATTTACATTTATAAACATGTATTTATATAATAAAGTGACTTTATTGTTCTTGTTAAATTATATAATGTATAAGATAGTAGCCCTGTTATTAAATTTTCATGGTGGCAGATATTTATATACTGTGACTTTGTGTCTAAACTGGCATCTCCATGATGAATGTGTGAATGAACCTCAGATGCGATGAAATACACTCTTCATGAACTGGAATTAAACTGTTTACCTTTATACGATCATATTCCCTCAGCCTGCACTCTTTTCAAATCGGTAATGGTGCCAGTTTGGACAGAAAACAATCTCAATAAAATCAGACCGCAAAACAAAGATCTTAGGACATCCCATTAGGGATCACGTCAGAACGACCTTTCATCCGACCAATCAGAGTATCGCTTACCAGATTATGAATGTGACAGTTGGAATGTGATTTCTAATCATGCAACCTCGAAAACTTTAACTCCAAATGATAGTTACGGGTTTAACGACTGAATCCATACAATCTAAACCATCTATTAGCCATTCCAGAATGTTCTTTTCTTCAGGTTTCAAATTTGTAATAGAGAATTTGTCAAAATATGTTTCGAAGCGTAGTCACCAAATTGAAATTAGTGCGGTAAAGCACGAGAAAGCTGCCTTCTGATTGGTTATTCCATTGGTCGGTCAAAGTTCGCGCAAGGTCGGTCTGACGTGACCCGTAATGGGATGTCCTCAGATCTTTCTTTAGCGATAGCGAGAACTAAGATCTGATTTTAATGAGATTGGACAGAAAACAGTGTATGAAACAGCGCTGAAATCACTGGTTTTCCCATATTGGCCTCGACATTCATTGTGTTACACAAACACTGATGGTATTCCACTTGTGTACTTTGTGCAGGGAACAGGAGAAATGTCTGCTCCATCTTGCAATACAATGCAAGGCCCCCGTGTCAAGGAACTCATCTGACTTTGATATTGTCCTTCAATGGTCACTAGGCCTTAAAGTTCTTTTTATTTTGTTTACGATATCAACCCCAAAAATAAATCCTGAAATTAGAAGAAGAAATGACTTGTGACAATTTTGATTACATTTAGGTGAAATAAAAAACATCAGATTTTATCACCACTATACACTGTAGGTGGTGAATACTATGTGTAAAAAAAATTATTTTGAAAAAATACAACAATTAATATCGTTTGGTGTCTTACCATGTTAAAACTTGTTTGTTTTTCATTCATTAGTACCAGTACTAAACAGGAAAGCGAACATATATATATAAAAAAAATTCCGACCACCACTGCTGGATTAAAGGCCCAAAATTTGGTTAACTAACTAATGAAAAAAAGGCTCTACAGTGATATCCTGTTAGTCTGGACCCTGTTAAACTAGAAACCCTGAACTGTTCCTGCTGTGAACATCACTACTTACCAATGATGTTCGCTGTGGTCTTAACCTTGTTATGGTTGAAAACATCAGGATATTTTTATATAGTAATGTGTAGTTTTCTATGAGGAATAAATGTGCAAAACTTTTCTTCAATTGTCCCTTGTTTGATGAAGCACCGACTGTTTGAAATTGTCCACCCTCTTTATAGCGCCTTATGCCAAAACAATTCAGCAGGTTTAAGGTTAATGCAGACCAAGACTGAGACTAGCGTAACAGGGTTTCTCTGTACTGACACCTATATTAGGTGTCAGAGGGTACCTGTTGGTTAGAAGCAAGTACAAAGGGGATTGTGTGGTCATAGTAATGGGTCAGTGTAGATAGCAGTTTCTCTTTTATGTCCTATGATTTAGTACTCTTGAGAACTACTATCAGCCTCTCCCTCCACATCGAGCTGATACTATCATTACTGAAATACTGTTCAAAGTGGCGCTAGACCCAACTCTCTGTCCCTATCTCAGTGCCATAAAAGACTTGGCGCCAATCTGGCTGTGATAATCAAATCTAAAAACACTGTATAATAATTATAAAAATTGTTTTCCTGAAAATTGTCAATGTTGTCTACAATATAATGAGTATCAACTGGAGTATGGACCTCATACATTTTTGTATAGCCATGATTAATGAGCCATAACAGTTCCTCTTGCAGAGGGGTCACCGGTGGCCAAGTCGTCTAAGGCGCCGCGATTCGCTGTGCAGAGTTACGTCCCTTGGGCATGCCAGAAACCTATGATTGTGGGTTCGAATCCCGGTTCGCCCCGATTATGTTTCTAGGTTTGTCAGCACCATACCCGTGCTCGTGGGTTTCACCGAAGTGGTAAACGTCTGAGACCTGCATCACTTCGGGCTTTCCTCCTACATTAAGCTGACTCTCCTTGTTATTACTGTAATACTGTTAAAAGCGGCGTTAAACACAACTCACTCACTCATTCCTCTTGCAGAAATAATCTATCTACCCACAAAGTATTGAAACAGGATAGAGGGTTCCGAATGTCCGTAGTGTGGTATTTTACTTCATAGATGTGCTATTACTAAAGATTGCTTTGTACCTAGGAGATATTATTTCTGTTGTACAAGGCCACACGACATTAGCTAGGGTCCGAAATAGGTGTGGTCAAATGGTGAGTAGTGTATAAAGACTTGTTGGATTTTGGGTAGGGGGGGGGGTGCGCAAATGTTAGGAACTTGTGTAAAATCAAAGGAGTTCTAACCTAACATCAGTTTTAAGAAGTGGCAGACATATGCAATTTTAACATCTTCCATGAAAAAGATCATTACTCCTTGGTGAAAAGAATGTTAATACAAGTAGGTATTTTATGCTTAAAACAGTAACATTAAAATATATGTTAATGTCTTTACAAAGTGATATATTTATCTTGCTTTGGGGATAAAAGATCAGAAACAAACTAGAATTTAGCTTGCTTCAGCTTTATTTCCTGGTGACGATGTTTTGATTCACTCCGTCAGCCAACAACAAAAATTAATTCTGCATTTTGAGTTTTCTTTGATAAGTCTTAATAAGTTATTTCAGCAATAAGAAATTTCTTCCAATTTGTTGACAATACCATTCAGACAGTGTATCCTGTAAAAGCCTCAAGCTCAAAATATATTCTTGGACAACAGAAAAGTTGTTTATTTGTTGATTCTTTATGAACCAGATCAAGTTATTGTGATGATTTTAACATAATCCTTTTTTTATCATGAAAATTGAAGTGACACAAGAACAACTGAAAGCCAGATGAGATTGTAGAATATTAGTGTTTATATAATCAATTTACCTATATCTGTTATGCCTGCATTCCCTACAAAACCCTTTGGCCATTATCATTCCACCTGTACAGTACCTTCATCACCTGTCTGTGTTCCAGACACCTGGGCGTATCCAGGTGTGTGGATAAATACCTTCAAATGTGAGGTAATGTTAGAATTTCACTGAATGCCATCACATGTGAGGTTATATTACTGGTTTGCTAAAAACCCTCACATGTGAGGTGATGTTAAGTTTCACTGAATTACCCTCACATATGAGGTTATGTATACCCTCACTTGTGAGGTGATTTTAGAGGTTCCCTCAATACCCTCACATGTGAGGTTATGTTAAGTTTCACTGAATTACCCTCACATATGAGGTTATGTATACCCTCACTTGTGAGGTGATTTTAGGGGTTCCCTCAATACCCTCACATGTGAGGTGATGTTAAGTTTCACTGAATTACCCTCACATATGAGGTTATGTATACCTTCACTTGTGAGGTGATTTTAGAGGTTCCCTCAATACCCTCACATGTGAGGTTATGTTAAGTTTCACTGAATTACCCTCGCATTTCACTGAATGCCCTCACATGTGAGGTAATGTTAGATTTCACTGCAAATACTATTTCAGGCATTGTTTCTTTGAATTTCACATCACCCTCCTCATTTTGTGTCAAAATAACAATGAACATTTTTAGTCACGCCAATTTGGATTCATGTTGAAAATGTGTACAAGAATCTCCCACAATAAATGACAACATTTATCATGTTTTCAAAGCTTTTTATTGATCTTGATGAAAATTACGCCAAAAATTATCTTTGGTTGTGTGATGTGAAATGAAAACAAACAAACCAAGAAGCCCTTGATATAGTAAACCGTGTGATATTGATGATTTAGTGCATAATCCTAACTCGCATTGATTACCTGGCGTACCGATCAAAACATCAGTCAATTATGTGTCTTTACCACTTGTAGGGACTGTTCCTACAAGCGTTGACACGAATCTAATTGACATTAAATAACTTGAGTTAAGCAATGTCATGTTTCTACAGCTTCCTAAAGACACATAGCGAAGTATATGCAAATCTTAAGTCAAACAGTATACATTTTTTAATTTTTTTACAAGAATGCTAATTTTGTCTTACTGTAAAATAATGTTTGTGTAGTGACATTTTTCCTTGTTCAGCAGATCTGACCAGTTGTTGAGTTTGTTATTTTTTTTAACATTGTGATTATTTCATGTTAATTCTGTTTCTAGGATACTCATTATATTTTTGAAGACTTAGCAATGTTGAAGCAGGTATTTTCATATGCTGTACCTTTATCGATGGTGTTAATATATTCATTACTTTGAATGTGTACAAAGTCAAGTAGAGAAAAAAGCCTTTATGAAATCTGGATTCTGTTAGAATACGCCTTTGAATATACCTAGATATTGTTTATGCTGATTTACCAATATGGAGAATAAAAGAATATTATAATACAACCAGTATTTTATATTTGGCAGTAATGTATACCTGAGTTAATAACTCCACCTCGAATCCTACCTTGAAGACTTCTAAGAAACTGATTTGTAAAAGAAATTTGAGGATCTTATCAGTTTCTGAATGACAGTAAACATGGAGAATTCCTTGGAAGTTGGATAGAAATCATCCTTTCTCTTAGTTATGGACTCTGGGGTTAAAATAATCAGTTCGACACAAGTTACCAATGACTTCAACTTGTATCTAAAGATGCCGTCGTGTTGCCACTGTCCATCATTCTCCCCTCATGTATTGGGAGGGTAACATACATCTGTGAAGCAATGTATGTTTTACTTCAAAAATAATCTAGGCCATAATTAATTTGATCAAGACAATTATCTTCTTGAAATAACAAACATCTCATTTTGATAACCCATGAAGACCTTACGTTGCCTATCTTTCTACCTATCACTAACTTGAAAAACTGCATGTTCTGAAATAGAATGGTCCATAGTAAGAACAAATCACCTCTACCCCTTTTTTAAAAAGACTTGGAGACAAATCAAGGCATATAAGCAGTGTATGTACATTGATGGAAATTGCAGGGAAGAATGTAGTTTGAAAAACTCTTGTATGTATTCATATTATTTGGCAATGAAGGAACACTGTCCATGAGAACATTAGACTCAGTGACCCATTTTGTTGAATAGAAGCTTTTCTTACCACAGTAAACATTATACTGCAGTATTACTGTTCCCTTACTTTTCCTTCAGCATATATGAATTGATCAAAATGTTAGGATACATGAGATGAGATGGCAGATAATTTACACGCAGAACATGTCAGCAGGATAGATGGTCATATTAAGACAAGGATTGAGGTTTAATCCATCTTGGGCTTATAACTAAGTTATCTCCTAGTCAGCTAAGGCCAGCCAACCAATCTACACAAGGCTCAGTGACTGTGAGGCGTTACGATGCGTATATCACACAACATGCTTGTCTATGTCCCGTGCTGTGTTCTCTGACATGTGTTATCAGAAACGTTCTCCTTACTGTGCTGGAAAGTTAACTATTTATAAGATAAATAAAAACTGTTTGTTGATACAATATCCAGCGTTTGTTTTATACACATTTCAGTGCTAGATACACACCAAGAAAAAAAATCTTTTTTTTGTCTGGGTACAATGTGTGAAGCACATTTCTGGTGTCCCCCGCCGTGATGTTGCTGGAATATTGCTAAAAGCGGCATAAAACCAAACTCACTCACTCATATGTTGTCCCTACCAACCTGATGCCTTCAGTGGGATCTGCTATGCTGACATTTTTTACCAGATGTTCATTGATTCTACTTCGGAATCTAACAAATTTTATAATTTCTCCATTACTTATTGGATCTCCATCCACGAATTGCATTCATTAATTACCTAGCATTATACAGCAAGCAGAAGTCGAGACTTGGACACACATGCACAACAAAAGCCTTTTAAATGTTAAGTAGGTAGGATTAAAAAGTGGGAATGGGTATTTTTAAGATATATTTTCAGGGGGTTAATTATAGTATATTAAATAATGTATATATATGTATTGATAGCAACAGTAAAAGAGGTTTTTGATATTTTACTTATTTCTGGTCACTGGAATAAAAAAACAAGTGCTTTTCATTCTTTTCTTATTGTTCACATTTTAATTTTGGGAGTTGGCGGATTTGCAAACCAAGTTTAAAAAGAAAATCTGGCCTAAGTTTCCTAAGGCACAATACAACAGACAAAGCCCTGTAAGCAGACATCATTTATTACATCAATGGAATCAATAGTATGTACATAATAGAATCACACATAGTGTGACAATGTTGTACAGAAAATATATACCAGCAACAGTTTATTCCTTACTGGAGCCTTGTCATTTCTCTCCTTTACCCAGACTTCACTCTTCAGTAGCACAGACTCCTTTGGTGCCAGTTTGTATTAACATCTCTAAATCACAGATACCTTCAACAGCAAGCTCGGGACCAAATTAAACTGAAGTACTAATACATAACTGCCGTTTTTCCCAAATTACAATTCATATTTTGTTACGATCGTCTGGGCAAGACACAAAAGCCCGGTAATATTGTCATAAGGGTGGGGTGAGGGTATAGAAGGGTCCCATTTTATTGCTTTGTTTTTATTTCGGCTGCAGCAACTTCCTATAATATGAGTGAAGTAGCTCGATTTGACTGATGCGAGACTATACCAGTCGATAAACAAGATGCCATATTATTTATATGACAAGGAAGAAATCATTTTTTCGTATTTTAGTTGCAAATTCGTAATATGAAACAAATTCCATGGTCAGCATCTGAGTGAGAGAAGTAAAACTTTCGGTAATCTTTACAACTGCTGCAGTGGGAAAAGCCTTGACAAACTGAATATCACAATTCAGGCAGCCTACTGTTGAGCTAGCCACCCAGCTGATACAAGACATTGATTACCATGATTATAACATATATACTGAGGGAAAGAAATAAAGGAACAGACGCAAAAGATGCAATCTTAATATAATTAGATCTACACAAAGATCAGAGGACATCCCATTACATGTCATATCAGAATGACCTTTCAACTAATCAACCAGTGTTGATTACGACATCACTTATATGAAATACCACAATCAACAATAGAATGAACCACCCACAACCTTAAGATAATACTAGAAATGTCAAACTCATTGTCAAATATATCGCTGTGACATCTCGTTTAGTATACAACGTCTACATTCTCTGATTAGATGGTATCTTGGCCCCCGTTTTCTCTCACAATAGACTGTATCTAGGCCCCCTTCCTCTCTCCCTAAAGATGGTATCTAGGCACCCTTCTCTCCCTACAGATGGTATCTAGGCACCCTTCTCTTCATATAGATGGTATCTAGGCCCCCCTTTTCTCTCACAATAGACGGTATCTAGGCCTCCTTCCTCTCTCCCTATAGATAGTATCTAGGCACCCTTCTCTCCCTGTAGATGTTATCTAGCCACCCTTCTCTCCCTATAGATGGTATCTAGGCACCCTTCTCTCATAATAGATGGTATCTAGGCACCCTTTTCTCCCTATAGATAGTATCTAGGCACCCTTCTCTCCCTATAGATGGTATCTAGGCACCCTTCTCTCACTATAGATGGTATCTAGGCATCCTTCTCTCTATATAGATGGTATCTAGGCACCCTTCTTTCCCTATAGATGGTATCTAGGCATCCTTTTTTCCCTATGGATGGTATTTAGGCTCCCTTCTCTCCCTATAGATGGTATCTAGGCACCCTTCTCTCCCTATTGATGGTATCTAGGCACCCTTCTCTCCCTATAGATGATATCTAGCCACCCTTCTCTCCCTATGGATGGTATCTAGGCACCCTTCTCTCCCTATGGATGGTATCTAGGCACCCTTCTCTCCCTATGGATGGTATCTAGGCACCCTTCTCTCCCTCTGGATGGTATCTAGGCACCCTTCTCTCCCTATAGATGGTATCTAGGCACCCTTCTCTCCCTATTGATGGTATCTAGGCACCCTTCTCTCACAATAGACTGTATCTAGGCCCCCTTCCTCTCTCCCTAAAGATGGTATCTAGGCACCCTTCTCTCCCTATAGATGTTATCTAGCCACCCTTCTCTCCCTATAGATGGTATCTAGGCACCCTTCTCTCCGTATTGATGGTATTTAGGCTCCCTTCTCTCCTCTCCCTATAGATAGTATCTAGGCACCCTTCTCTCCCTATAGATGTTATCTAGCCACCCTTCTCTCCCTATAGATGGTATCTAGGCACCCTTCTCTCATAATAGATGGTATCTAGGCACCCTTCTCTCCCTATAGATAGTATCTAGGCACCCTTCTCTCCCTATAGATGGTATCTAGGCACCCTTCTCTCACTATAGATGGTATCTAGGCATCCTTCTCTCTATATAGATGGTATCTAGGCACCCTTCTTTCCCTATAGATGGTATCTAGGCATCCTTTTTTCCCTATGGATGGTATTTAGGCTCCCTTCTCTCCCTATAGATGGTATCTAGGCACCCTTCTCTCCCTATTGATGGTATCTAGGCACCCTTCTCTCCCTATAGATGATATCTAGCCACCCTTCTCTCCCTATGGATGGTATCTAGGCACCCTTCTCTCCCTATGGATGGTATCTAGGCACCCTTCTCTCCCTATGGATGGTATCTAGGCACCCTTCTCTCCCTCTGGATGGTATCTAGGCACCCTTCTCTCCCTATAGATGGTATCTAGGCACCCTTCTCTCCCTATAGATGTTATCTAGCCACCCTTCTCTCCCTATAGATGGTATCTAGGCACCCTTCTCTCAGTATTGATGGTATTTAGGCTCCCTTCTCTCCTCTCCCCATATATAGTATCTAGGCACCCTTCTCTCCCTATACATGGTATCTAGGCACCCTTCTCTCCCTATTGATTGTATCTAGGCACCCTTCTCTCCCTATTGATGGTATCTAGGCACCCTTCTCTCCCTATTGATGGTATCTAGGCAATTTTCTCTCCATATAGATGGTATCTAGGACCCTTCTCTCCCTATTGATGGAATCTAGGCACCCTTCTCGCCCTATAGATGGTATCTAGGCACCCTTCTTGCCCTATAGATGGAATCTAGGCACCCTTCTTGCCCTATAGATGGTATCTAGGCACCCTTCTCTCCCTATAGATGGTATCTAGGCACCCTTCTCGCCCTATAGATTGTATCTAGGCACCCTTCTCTCCCTATAGATGGTATCTAGGCACCCTTCTCGCCCTATAGATTGTATCTAGGCACCCTTCTCTCCCTATAGATGGAATCTAGGCACCCTTCTCGCCCTATAGATTGTATCTAGGCACCCTTCTCTCCCTATAGATGGTATCTAGGCACCCTTCTCGCCCTATAGATTGTATCTAGGCACCCTTCTCGCCCTATAGATGGAATCTAGGCACCCTTCTCGCCCTATAGATTGTATCTAGGCACCCTTCTCTCCCTATAGATGGTATCTAGGCACCCTTCTCTCCCTATTGATGGTATCTAGGCACCCTTCTCTCCCTATAGATGGTATCCAGGCACCCTTCTCGCCCTATAGATGGTATCTAGGCACCCTTCTCTCCACATAGACTGTATCCCTTTAAGCACCCAAACATGACTGTTAAATGCCTTAGGTGTTAATTATGTTAAGTAAAAGAAGTTTTTACTTGCATGCAATAACTTCAAAATCTCTTTCACACAATCACTCACACACATCAGAAACACATCCTGTCTCATACATTATCATCACCATGGAAACAGATATTTTCATCTTTGAAGGTCAACGCCATGGAAATGGTCAACATATCAGTCACTGTCGCTGCCTGATTCACTCAATTCCAGATCGTCTGAAAGGAAAGAATCTGCGTAACACAATGTTCTAGAATCAAAGCCACAGCTTATGGAATCTTATTATTCAATTCACCGACAAAAATATGAGAACAAAAGCATCCATCTTCATGCCATTCCCAAAACAAACCAAATTTGTGTGGCGAGGTGAGGTGAAGTATGAGATGAGGTATGGTGAGTTGAGGTATGGTGAGGTATGATGAGGTGAGGTGAACTATGATGAGATGAGGTATGAGGTGAGGTGAGTTGAAGTATGATGAGGTGAGGTATGGTGAGGTGAGGTATGATGAGGTGAGGTGAAGTATGAGGTGAGGTATGGTGAGGTATGAGGTGAGGTATGGTGAGATGAGGTGAAGTATGATGAGATGAGGTATGGTGAGGTGAGGTATGAGGTGAGGTGAAGTATGAGATGAGGTATGGTGAGTTGAGGTATGGTGAGGGGAGGTATGTTGAGGTGAGGTGAGGAAGTATGATGAGATGAGGTATGGTGAGTCGAGGTATGTTAAGGTGATGTATGAGGTGAGGTGAGGTGAAGTATGATGAGATGAGGTATGGTGAGTTGAGGTATGATGAGGTGAGGTATGGTGAGTTGAGGTTAGTGAGGTATGATGAGGCGAGGTGATTATGATGAGGTGAGGTATGGTGAAATGAGGTGAGCGAGTGAGTGAGTATGGTTTTACACCGCTTTTAGCAATATTCCAGCAATATCACGGCGGGGGACACCAGAAATGGGCTTCATACATTGTACCCATGTCGGGATTTGAAGCCAGGTCTTCGGCGTGATGAGCAAATGCTTTAACCACTAGGCTACCCAACCGCCCCCATATGGTGAGGTGAGGTATGGTGAGTTGAGATATGGTGAGGTGAGGTATGAGGTAAGGTGAGGTATGGTGAGGAGATGGAGGTTTACTGTCATGTTGATGACACAGCTGAACACAACTTACTTATCAAAGAGAACTGTCGCCCTGAGTTGGACTGATTGGTAGGAGGGGCGCTTGGCGTACTGACTGGGGCCTGACCTGCAACAAAACATGATAATTGAATTGTACGAATTTTAAAACAATAACATCTGTTCCGACATCACAGTATGGATAATCATATTCTACTAAAAAAAAGTTAAGGACCACTTGATTCTTGCATATTACTAAGGGGGCTGTATTACAGGTATACATAACTTTTAATGCTCGGTATATCGGGTGATTTCAAATAGCGATTTTATGTTATAGTATATGGAGTGTGCATCTGTGCATATTTATTAAATGAGTACACATTGTGTTTCACCAGCATCTTGTTTTGTTCCATTTATAAACTTCAATTCATTCACTGGTATTTCAAATTGCTTCTGAATTCAAAATTTAGAACCATAAAATATATTGTGATACGGATCACAATACGGCCTTGTGCATTGTGTGATAATCTATCATAAGTACCACCCGTGACAGATTACTTTTTTGTTTTGTTTTGTTTGTTGTTTAAATAATCCAGTTTGGACCAGACAATCCAGTGATTGATATCATGAGCATCAATCCAGGCATTTGGTGTACGACGACATGCAACCATAAAGTCAGCGAGCCTGACAATCTGATCTCGTTAGTCGCCTCTTATGACAACCATAGTCGCCTTTAACAGGATGCATGTGTTGCTGAAGACCTATTCTATCCCGGATCTTCACAGGTTGACAGATTAACTAACTACAGTTATATTAAAGAATCCAGATTCTGGACAAGACAATCCAGTGATTGACACAGTGAGCAACGATCCACGCCATTGTGGTAAGATGACACACAATCTACCAAGTCATTGAGCCTCACTACACGTACCATCAAGTTGCCTCTTAAATCAGCAGAAATTGCTGCGGAGCAATTCTGACACTGAATCCCAAAGGGTTGGCTGATGAAATACATGATTCTTGATCTACTGATAAGAACCCCACAGCTTCACCCGTGTCACACGAGCCCCACAGTGTGATGCAGCAGATCCTAATTAGGAGGGGGCAGGGATGGTCAAGGCTGCTAAGATTCCACAATTTGTAGTGAAGAGTTGTGTCCCTTGGGCACGCTAAAAACCTATGACAGTGGGTTCAAATCCTGACCCAATCATGTTCCTAGGTTTCTCAGCACCATACCTGTGCTCATGGGATTTACAAAAGTGGCAAACATGACAGAGTAACTATACAAATATGAAAGAATCGGGTGGTCTTTGAGTTGTAAAAGTAAATAAAGAAGAAATAAAAAAGAATTGGCGTAAGAATTGTGCCTGGTGCACTTCAACCATATTAGAGCAGGGTTTTCCCTTGACCTACAATTGATTAATTTAAAGACCCCGACAGGAAATATGAGGTTCCTGTAAATTAATGATTTACTGTACTGTAAGATTTGATAATTAATTTGATATCGTCAAGAAAACAAGATATACTTTTTTTCTGATCCATTCCATACATTTGTGAGTACTAGAAGCACATATCTACATCGCGTACATCGCGTATGTTGTGAGAAGGAGCACGTACCAGCAGGGTTGTGTTGTGGGGGGGCCTCATTGTCGGAGTCGCTGTCCTCGCTGGAACTGGAGGAGCTGCTGCTGCTGATCTCCCCGATGTAGCTCGCCTCTGTCGGCTCTGGCATCACTGGAAGAAAACGTGGATAAACTTCCTGTCACTGTAATAACTACACACATGAGCAAGTGAAATTGGGTTTAACGTCGTGTCCAAGGTTTTTGCACTTACATAGCGACGTGCATGTACGTATGTGTGTTTGTGTGGCTGCTTGTCCTAGTCCGGACTGATGCCGATTTATAGTGCTAGCTCACTGAGATACCATGCCGCAGTTTAACATGAATATCCCATTCAGACACAGTATACTGACTCCGAGCCGACCAGTCCTTGTTTTAGCCCCTTAATGCCGTGCGCCAGACATGGTAAAACAACAAGTACCATCTTTTAACGTCTTTTGGTATGACACAGCCGGGGATTGAGCCCTGGACCTTCCGCTCTCCGGGCGGATGCTCTACCACTAGACCACAGAGGCGGTCACACATGAGCAAGAACAACATTGACATTACAGCTCCATCCCAGGCAGAGCTAGCCATCATTATGTACATAATGTACACAGATTTACGCGCGTGTACCTTTGCTTGTGACATAATGACCTACTCTGGTAGTCTATGAATAATCGAGTGAATAGGTCTTCAGCAACCCATGCTTGCCATACAAGGCAACTATGTTGTCGTAAGAGGCAACTAATGGGATCGAGGGGTCAGGCTCGCTGACTTGGTTGATGCATGTCATCGTATCCCAATAGCGTGGATTGATGCTCATGATATCAATCATTGTCTGGTCAAGACTGGATTATTTACAGACGGCCGTCACATATCTGGAATATTGCTCAGTGAGGCGTTAAACAACAAACAAACGAATAATCAAGTCTGGACCAGACAATCCAGTCATTCATATTGTGAACAAATGATTCTCGCAATCTGGGTATGATGACACACTATCAACCAAGACACTGAGTCTGACCACTGATCCATAATGGCGCCTCTAACTAGCAAAGGAACCGACAGCAACCCGATCTCACCATGGAGACAATTGTGGTGCCTAAAATGACTGGGCCACTCCTGGCAAGTCAGCTAATCGCAAGACAGGAGTCTGACCTGCGTCAGTCGAGCCATACAGTATGTGAGGCAGTACACACAACAAATGAATGAGTGAGTTTGGGTTAACGCTGCTTTTAACAGTAATCCAGTTATATCACGGTGTGTCAGCTTAATGTGGGAGGAAAGCCCAAAGTGATGCAGATCTCAGACATTTACCACTTCGGTGAAACCAACGTACACGGGAATGGGGCTGACAAGGCTAGAAGTATAATCGGGGCGAACCGAGATTCGAACCCACAATCATAGGTTTCTGGCGTGCCCAAGGGACGCAACTCTGCACAGAGAATTACGGAGTCCAAGACAATTGGGCCAGACGTGCCCCCTGCAACAAATGAGCTTTCGTATGTTGTAACAAATAAAATAGACTAAACATCATCATTCCAGGAATGTTAAAGTACACCAAGACTTGGCAGTGTCCTATATTTCCAGTGAGTCTGTACCTATATCCATGTCCTGCTGGCTGTTAGAGACTGGGGAGAACCCTTTCACAGAAGACGGACTTCTTTGGTTGGCCTTGGGTCTTGAAGGGGACGTAGGCCGTTGCTTAGCAACTTCAACAGGGGTCAAAGGCCTCTGCTGAGCTCGACTTGACCCTTCAATTCTGAAACATGTCAATGTATGAGTTGCATGAGAGCTGGAAACAGGGAGACACCATTGGTCATATCCGACTAGAGCTTAGTTCATTTACTTCTTTGTTTGTTTGTTTGTTTGTTTAACGAAGCACTCAGCAATATTCCAGCTATATGACAGCAGTCTGTAAATAAACGATTCTGGACCAGACAATCCAGTGATTGATGTCATGAGCATCTATCCATGCAATTGAGATACAATGACATACATCAACCAAGTCAGCAAGATTGACCACCCAATCCCGTTTGTTGCCTCAGAGCTCCAGATAAGCTGTGTATCTGCGTAAAATACGAATCAGAAATGCAGAAATACGCAGTAAAATATAATCCAAGCGTATCAAATACGCAACGAATATTACAGATACGCTACAAAAAAAAAACTTGTGCGTATCATCAAAATATTGTGAAGTAACCCTGCATATTCGATTAACAAATCAGCAACTTATTTTGAAATTATAAACGGGGATTCCGTCAACCTTGCCAAACTCCGAGATGACAGTTACATCATGATCATTTGCAATCACACTTTCTTGTGGAAGAATCGTGGTATTTTTGAGTCCTATAAAGCTCTCAAACACACACAACACCAGTTTGCAGGGACTAGATGAATAGTGTTTTTAAATATTTAACTTAAATACCCACATGTGTAAAAACTAGTAGGTAACAGAAATTTGAATACCCAAATAGAAGTACTGATACCCAATGATTTTAAAATGCATGGGTAAAATACCCACAACACCAAAAGCTTATCTGGAGCTCTGTCGCCTCTTACGACAAGCACAGTCGCCTGTTACGGCAAGCATGGGTTGCTGAAGACCTATTCTAACCAGGATCTTCACGGGGGTAGTGGTTTAGATGAATAACTAGACGTAAGAAAACAACCATTACCATTGGACTTTAACGCCTCTTTTAACAGTATTCCCGTTATATCACGGTGTGTCAGCTTAATGTGGGAGGAAAGCCCGAAGTGATGCAGATCTCAGACGCCTACCACTTCAATGAAACCCACGAGCACGGGTATGGTGCTAACAAACCTAGAAACATAATCGGGGCGAACCAGGATTTGAACCCACAATCATGGGTTTCTGGCGTGCCCAAGGGACACAACTCTGCACAGCGAATTGCGGCGCCATAGACGACTGGGTCCCCCTTGCACCCTGGACTTTAACTCGTCTTGGACCAATGAACCATGGTCATTTCTATTCTGGATGATAGACAAAAATGGCTGACAAACATTTAATTACATGCCCTGAGTCACTTATGTTACCCTTCCCGAGTTTTCAATGTTATGGATAAAAGTGGTTGGTCCGTATGAAAGATTTAGACAGTGTTTCTCCTGTCAAGGGATGAAGCTCCCGATACCCAATTAAGAGTCGGAGTTACCACAAAACATGTGCAGTTTATGTGCAAGTGAACATTTCAGTGTCTCAATACACCAACGCATTAGTCTCACGTTCCTAGCTATGTGGTTTCGCTCACTCACATACCCCTTCCTGTTTCTAGTTCAAGTTACCAGCACTAACAGAGTTTTCTGCATCTGCTAAGCACCAAAAACTGAAGGCTTGATGTTGGCAATGAAACCAGAAACATAATACACTACGCCCAAGCTATTGAATCTTGTTGACACCTCAAATGATGTTAACACAAAAATACATGTGTTAGTTGTTGAATGGAAATATTGTAACTCAAGGAATTACATGTAGTAGTTACAAGTTGGGGAAAGCAATACTTTTTCCCTCACTGCTGAGCTCAGATGGACCACCACATGGTCTCCATTTAACGGTCCTTGCCTGCGGAGCATGTAACGAGGTGTAACGACAAGTGCGGTGGTGACAGGAACTGAAGTTTCATTGACAGGTCCTTCCTACAACTAGTGATACATTTGTAATTCAATTCACCAAATAACATTTAAACTGGGATTCCCGCAAGAATATTCTGAAATTCCTGGAAACCATGGTAACATGAGTGAGAATGGTTATTACAGCAATATCACGGCGGGGGACACCAGAAATGAGCTTCACACATTGTACCCATATGGGGAATTGAACCCGAGTCTTTGGTGTGACGAGCAAACGTTTTAACCACTAGGCCACCCCACCGCCCCCATGGTAACATGACAGGGGCAGGTATAAGGCTGAGTATTGTCTTGCAGACCTGGTTTTCTTGAGCTGGATTGTGTTTGTGAGTTTCTCCAGGGTAAAGGTTCCGGTGTCATGGTCGATGATCAACAGACACTCCTTCGGGCACGGCTTCTTGTTGCCCTTGTAGACTGTGTGACTTGTGCCTGAATTCTGAAGCACAAATGGAGTAAGTTAAACTTTTAAGTTTAAAGGCACCTGTACATATGCAAGTCTCATCTGTTTTGTTTGTTGGTTAGTTGTCTAATGCCACAACTCAGCAACTCTACAGCTACACAATGGCAGGCTGTACATGACAGTCCAGACCAGACAATCCAGTGATTCATATTATGACAATCCAACAACACTACAGCTACACAATGGCAGGCTGTACATGACAGCCCAGACCAGACAATCCAGTGATTCATATTATGACAATCCAACAACACTACAGCTACACAATGGCAGGCTGTACATGACAGTCCAGACCAGACAATCCAGTGATTCATATTATGACAATCCAACAACACTACAGCTACACAATGGCAGGCTGTACATGACAGTCCAGACCAGACAATCCAGTGATTCATATTATGAGCACAATGACAGTGTCAGTGATGAAGACACACAGTCTACTAGGGGCATACATTAACTCAGTGAGTGAGTGAGTATGGTTTTACGCCGCTTTTAGCAATATTCCAGCAATATCACGGTGGGGGACACCAGAAATGGGCTTCACACATCGTACCCATGTCGGGAATCAAACCCAGGACTTCGGCTACCCGACCGCCCCACATAAACTCCTACTCCCCATTGGGACATATGCAAGTCTCACCTGTACATGTGGAACTGTTACAGACACCTGGTGACCTTCACCCACTTCAAACGCTGCCTCCCGTGCTGTGTCTACTGAAGCTGGCTTGAAGTCATCTGCAACATCAAAACTCATATCAAATCACTCCTAACACACTAATACAAAAAAAACCTATCACTTATATAATTATATACCATGATAAAATGTTTCATTTTTTATTATCTATTCTAAACAAATCCACCAACGTTCGTTGTGCAATATACTTAACAGGTCTCAGGGTTTCAGATCTGTTCATTTTCTAGGACACTGACTGATTGCAAACCAAAATATCTGACAGATATTTTTCAAATTTGATAATGATAAAGAGAAATGGCATATCAACATGATCAAGAGTTAATAAAAGCATGAAATTTTTTTCAAGGAAAATCACTGAGATTTTACTTAACAATGACCCATCAGGGGTTAATCTGAGCTGTCCACACAGTCCTTGCATCCTCACTGACATGACCTGAGTATGTTAAGAGGTATCACACAGAGGTATCACACAGAGGTATCACACAGAGGTATCACACATGGTGAACATGACCCGTGAAGATTCCGGGGTAGAATAGGTCTTCAGCAACCCATGCTTTCCGTAAAAGGCGACTATGCTTGTCGTAAGAGGCGACTAACGGGATCAGGTGGTCAGGCTCGCTGACTTGGTTGATGCATGTCATCGTATCCCAATTGCTTTGATCGATGCTCATGATATCAATCACTGGATTGTCTGGTCCAGACTCGATTATTTACAGACCGCCGTCATATAGCTGGAATATTGCCGAGTGCGGCGTTAGACAACAAACCAACCAGCCAACCAACATGGTGAACATAGAAGATACATCTACATACAGTCAACAGTAAAATATGGACTACAGAAGCCAGTTTGGGTCCGATGAGACATTCTAAATACTCTCATACAGAGGATCACGTAAGAACAAAACCATGTTAACTACCTGTACTACATGTTATTACATACATAAAAGCGAGATAGGTTCAAATGTGTATACAATCACATAGCAGTCATTCCACACATCGACATCTCATCATATATGCTCACAAAGCTACAGATAAGCAGCGTATTTGCGTAAAATACCCCCCCCCCCCCAAATATTCAAAACCCAATTACATGTACTTTCAATTAACTTAAGTACAGAAACCCATACATTAAATAAAAAACACAAATGTATAAAAACAGCACGCGCAAATACCCAATGAAGATTTTTCAGCACGGGTACAAAGGAGCTAATTTCTGAAACACAATTACAAGCTAAGTTACTTTCTGAGTCGTGCCTATATACTTAGAACAGTTATTATGGTTATATACATCTAAAACATTATTTCATTTTTTTTAAATCTTAAAATGTTCACTCTTTTGGGGAAAACCCCAATACAGTTATGAATAGATGAGTGAAAAATATTGGTTACCTAATGAAAAATGTAATAACCCAATTAACATACAAACCCTAGAGTAAAAACTCAATTGCTCAAAAAGTTATCTGGAGCTCTGTGCTCACATGTACGTCCCACAAACAGGGCAAATGTCCCCTGCATACATTTCACCATAACATACATGCTCAATTTACCCACACTTATCATGCTTATGCATACACTTACACACTCAAAAAACATAATTTAGAACACAATTGGGATGTTCTTAAAGGTCCTTATTTTCTTAGATTCTGGGTTATTTTGAGATCATGAATATGTCACTAAATGCAAAAATGTGAACGTAAACATTAAAGCCTCTTCATGTTTACTGGACCGGCTGCTAACATGGCTAATGAAATGCAAATCACCTCTAACATAAATTACTACTAGACCATCCTTATAATCATTAATAACGATATGACTTGACAAATTTTTAATTCTATTGGAGATTTTTTACTGACATAGGCTTTAGATCTTGGGGTCAATATCGGCCTCTGAGCAGGTCTAGGTAAATGGGTTATAGCTAAAACAGCACCTCAGCAAAACGTCACTGAGCGAAAACAGCACCGATTGGCGAAAAGGTCACCTTGCCTAAAGCGAAAACAGCTATTATTGCCTCGCAAAATGGCACCTCGTTTATTTTTTACCTTGGTACTGAAATACATGAAATGAAACTCACATGGTCACTTGCGAACAAAAATGATTGTGAAATGTTAACCACCTTAAAACAAGTTTACTCTAGAAATAAGCCTCTATTACAATTGCTTGGGAGGTGCAACTAAACTTATTGTGAAAACATCACATGCTTTGATTACCTTTGCTCAAATTAAACTCAATGTCAAGTTGAAACTGAGTGTGGCGGAAATGTCCAGAAATTGGACAACAGGTATACAATATATTTAAAATTTATGTGAGTAAGTAGGAAAAAAATAGTAGTTTTTATAGATATTTCATATATATTTCCCCTTACTGCCAGCTGCCGACATCCCAAGAATGTCTCTCCAGATAACAGACAGTGTCCTTGACCAAGGAAAACATATATACTACAACATAACAAAATAAAGCATGTAAATAAAGCATATATAATAATACATCGAGCACCTTAGAATACAGTACCACAACTTCTCGTGAGGACGACCTCTGCCGTAGGTCACATGTCTCAAAGACAAGCAACCAGTTTTTGTGAGAATCCGTTGGATGCGAATTCGCGACCTTCAGATTGTTAGGCGGACAGCTAACCAACTGAACAATGTCCACACTGTGAACCTAAGTGCAAATTTACCTAGTCATGCCTATGACGTTACGGAACTGAATGAAAACGTGTTACGGACACTTACGAAGGTAACAGGTAGGCATGGCGTCTCTTGACTTTAGTCTACTGACACTTATGAATGATCCCAATGACATTTGGCACACTCATCCCATTCCGTATTCTACAAGATACCGAGTGGTTAGGAATGATCCGATATGGCGCGAACTGAAAACGGCTACAGGCATCAGATGTCGAACGCCCGAGTACTCATGAATGATATGGTATTTAATAATTCGTCGGGTGCTTTTTGTGAGAGAAAGGTGTGGTAGGGAACACTATAAGGATAATGTGGATAATAGTAAGGAATGAGGGAGGCATGAGCATGGCTAGTGACGACATAACTGTGAGTTCGCTTTTGAATCAGAACTGAAAAAATGTAGCCGGTGAAAGTGGCTTGTGTGAATGTTCCAGAACAGTTTCCAGTAGCCAAAATACTCGAAGTTTTTGTGTGAAGAATATTAGGAGCCGCTATAGTATCTATAATAGCCACTAAATGGGTACCTAACCCTAATGACTTGTAAAGGGGTGATTGATCGTAAAGGAGATCCCAGGGCTAAGCTAGGATAGAGTTCGGGTAATCTAATAGCCCCTAAACAGGTACCTAACCCTAATGATCGTAAAGGGGTGACTGAGAGTAAAGGGGTGACTGAGAGTAAAGGGGATCCAAGGGATGGAGTTCGGGGTAACCTGCCCTAACACTGGCGACATTTGGATGTGTTCAGCGTCAGTATAATATCCCAAATAAATTGTATTCTTGTGCATAATAATGAAAATTAATGATTATTAAAATTAAACGTGTAGAGATGATAGATCACTTGGTTGAGCTTATGCACAATCAAAGACCCCTGACGTCACAGGGCATTTTTTCGCCGGTTTGACTGGCAACAAAATACTACAAATTATGTCATAGGGTATTTTCACATGTTTGAAAAGTTTGTGGACAATTAGTAGCTGTTTTCGCCAAATGAGGTGCCGTTTTCGCTTGAGAAATCGGTGCCATTTTGCTGAGGTGCCATTTTAGCCTGCACCCTAGATAAATCACTGGTCATGTGGGGATTTATCACTGATAAGTAAACATCTCATAATACTACCTTAACATGTTCAAAAAGATTGAATTGTGGGTTAATGTCATCAGTCATTTTGACCTACATCTTTTTTATCCAGCTGTTGCAATGACTGATAAGATTATAATATTGTATGTTTAACGTGAACGAATTGTCAGATGAAATAAACAAGTTATGTCAAAATAATAATTCCGACTCGTTATAAACACTTTCCTCCTTTCTTATCTGCAACATTTACACCACCGATTGCAATGTAAAGGGACAGATAGAAAAAAATGGGATTATCATCAGCGTGATATTTTCATAACTCATCAAGAATCTAAAAGTCAGACAAAATTATGATCTCAAAAATGGGGTTTAGCCATTTAAGTGTACACGCGGAGACATGGGATGTGATTTGAGCCAGGGAATCGAATAATCGTGGTTGTTTCGTCCACCATATTTGGCGGTGTAATCTCGACATTTTGTCAGGACTCACAGCGTATTGAATGAAAAGCTGCCCGGGTGGAAGGATCAAAACTCCTGCCTAACTTCAGTTCGTGAACACTGTTGTCTATTGGCATATTTCTGTCACTCATGTCGAAAACTTATTTTCACCAGTCGGAATCCATTATTTTCCAAATAAACCGGAAGTGATACCTTGAGGTCACCAGTATCTGAACCGGATCTTTAACCGGACGGATAGTTGAAAACAACACTGAAACTTCATAGGGAAACTGGACAATCCGCACTGAGGGAGATCTTGTATGTTTTGGCGTACTAATAAACAAATGTTGGATAACCCGTACCCACCCGTATCTAATAAACTGGATGACTCCAGAGACCATAAAATACTCTGATTACTAGTATAAAACGCGTAATATTCGTACAAAATGGAAATTTATAGGATTTTAAACATTATTCGCTTCTATTAACATATATTGTTATCTGCAATGACAAGAAAATGATATTTGAGACTGTAGATGCTGTGGTGACCGGGATGTCATTTTGAAACAATAGCTTAAATTCCGGAAAACCTGATAGTGAGGGACACAATGTGTTAACTGGTCCTTAATCTAAGTTTGTTTGTTTGTTGTTTAACGCCGCACTCAGCAATATTCTAGTTATTTGACGGCGATCTGTAAATAATCGAATCTGGACCAGAAAATCCGGTGATTGACAACAAGAGCATCGATCCTAGCAATTGGGATCGATGACATCCATCAACCACGGACGTATCGATGACATCCATCAACCACGGACGTATATACAATACGTCTTTGCATCAACCAAGTCAGCAAGCCTGACCACCCGATCCCGTTAGTCGCCTCTTAAGACAAGCAGAGTCGCCTTTTACGGCAAGCATGGGTTGCTGAAGACCTATTCTACCCCGGATCTTCACGGGTCGCTTTGTCGAAGGGATAATCACCAATTATCTCAATCAACATAGTGAGAGAAATATTATAGTATATTATATGAAAATAAATAGGTACGGGTTTGCCATTTTCGGTGGATACGAACCTTCGTGAGAACGGATCTTGTATAGCACCCCTTCAATTTGATTATTCTCACAATCTCATTAAAATCAGATCTGCCGCTAAACAAAGGTCTGAGGACATCCCATTACGGATCACGTCAGAACGACCTTTCGCGAACTTTGACCGACCACTGAAACGACTTACAAGAAGTCGACATTAGCCAATCAGAAAGCAGCTTTCATGAGCTTTACGGCACACGTTTTAATCGGGCGACTTCCATTTCAGACAACGCTTGAAAAAGATGTTGACACAGTTCTCGATTATTTTTTTTTTGAACTGAACAAACGAACATTCCGGAATGTCTAAAATTTGGTTGCGATTGCGACATATGGTATGGCAGTGCTTCCTACGTACTGTGTAACGCATCCTCCGTTCAAATGTTTATCCCACGGAAGCGAGAGATAGACGATAATTTTGACGGAATCAGTCGTACGGACCGTAACTGTCGTTCGGAATACCCCGTGACTGTCACTTTCATGATCTGGTAAGCGACGCTTTGATTGGTCGGAGGAAAGGTCGTTCTGACGTGACCCGGAATGGGATGTCCTCAGATCTTTGTTTAGGGATAGCGAGAACTAAGATATGATTTTAATGAGATTGATTATTCTCATAAAATGCTAAAGTATTAAGATCTACATTCGTGGTACCATTTAACATGCATCTTTTCGTGTGTTTCAAAATCCACGCGTCATATGAAGCTCTTTCGATTGTGTTGGCCACATAATGAAGCCAGTTGTGCTTGTCGATATTCTTGGTGGGAACAAAACAAGAAGTGTTGCTCCTGCATCGCTTTTGTTTAACAGAAAATAGAAACAAAATCCTACCGTCCTCCTCACTTCTGAAACACAATGTACCCGAGACATATCTTATGCAGCCTAATATGCACCACGTGTTATTAAAGACGCCATGGGAAGTGCGTGAGTTGGGTTTAACGCCGCCTTTAACAGTATTCCAGTTATATCGCGGCGTGTCAGCTTTATTTGGGAGGAAAGCCCGAAGTGATGCAGGTCTCAGGTCTGAGTGAGTTGGGTTTAACGCCGCTTTTAACAGCATTCCAGTTCTATCAAGGCGTGTCAGCTTAATGTGGGAGGAAAGCCCGAAGTGATGCAGGTCTCAAACGTTTACCACTTCGGTGAAAACCACGAGCACGTGTATGGTGCTGACAAACCTAGAAACATAATCGGGGCGAACCGGGATTCGAACCCACAATCATAGGTTTCTGGCGTGCCCAAGGGACGCAACTCTGCACAGCGAATCGCGGCGCCTTAGACGACTGGGCCACCCGTGCCCCCTTGTGTGTTGGGAGGTAACGCTGCTTTGAAAAGTATTTCTGTCACGTCAGGGTGTGTCAAGTTCATGTGAGAGAAAATTAAACCAAAAGGGAATCAGGCCAGCGACTGCAAGGTCTTGATACCCAAGGGCAGATGTATATGATGCTGACACACCAAGACCATAGTCGGGCCGATTTTTGGATTCGAACCCACAATCAACGGGCATGCATAAGGAGCTCAATTCTTCGCGAAAAGATGCTGCAATTTAGTCCCCAGCTCTATGCCAGTAGTGAGAGAGCGAGTGGGTTTGGTGCAACGAGAAGCTTTGTCGGCGTGTCAACTCAACAAGGGAGGTAAGCCAGAAGTGACGCAGGTGAGGGACGTAAAGTCCACGAACATTAGTAAGGTGCTGACAAACCATGGATGATAATTAGGACGAACATTGGATTCGAACAAACGATAAGCGGCCTTAGCTGCACCTTAGACTACTACGCCACCTCTGCCTTCATGAATGGGGTTTGAGAGTATAGAGACAGGGCGTTTTTCACGTTTTAATCTGTCATAACGGGAAAGAAATTTCAAACATTGCTTGCCCTGAGTATGTGAAATCATTTCTTAAGCTTATCGATCAAATTTCTTTAAGATGAAGTATTGCAATACAGCCCCTGTGTCATTATATTATTAAAAAATACATATAACACACATGCACGATTGCACATCACACACAATGCCATGCTACCGATGTAATATTAAATAATAAGGATATATACCGGATATATAATATACCCACAGGTTATAAATCAGGTGAAGTTAAGCATCGTTGGTCGCGGAAAGTGGATGGATAGGTGACCCGTGTTCGACAGTTTGGCTCCTGAGAGTTTCTGGGGCTTCGGTTATTCCCCACAGTGAAGCGCATGTAGCACATGCGACTGCGTTCGAAATATGCCTCAGTTTACCCAGCAGTGGATGGGTACCCGGTAGAACGACTGTTAACCATCTGGAGTATCACAGGCTGCTTCGGTTGTATACTCCCAAGGGGGCTGAGAATGAAAATCGAGCACACATTGATCCATTGACCGGGTCAGGAGCGCCACGAGCTTTCATTTGAGTGGAAGTTAACGCATTATTAATGTCTGTCAGAAAGAGACACACTGTAGCATTATGAAATAACATTATAAATAAAATATATGAGAGATTAACGAGTGTCTTATTGCCGGACAAAGCTGCCGTTGTGCCTTTTCTTTTTAATGCAAGTAAAATGCTAAGAAAGTTCAAAATAACGCGCATAACATCAAACAGGGATGCAAAATCATCATCAAAGTTGCTTTATTTAATCTGAGATATTAAGATCATCAATCGAAATTTAACTTTCTCTGACGTATATCAAAATCATTATTTACTATAAATGACTTGTTAATTATATTCATTAAAATGCTTTTATTCATGATCACAGTCAGGAAAACTAATTAGCTTTAACCATGACATCACAAGGACCCCTCTAACCAGAGTACCACGCCCCAGGGTTTGTTTGTTTGTTGCTTACGCCGCACTCAACACTATTCCAGCTATAAGACGGCGGCCTGTAAATAATCGTGTCTGGACCAGACAATCCAGTGATTGATGTCATGAGCATCGATCCACACAATTGGGATACGATGACATGCATCAACCAAGTCAGCGAGCATGTCAGTCGCCTCTTACGACAAGACCACGCAAATGGGATTCAGCAAGTGCGGCTTAGATAAACCGAAGTATGACGTCATTCAGTTTACATGTGCTTACATTGGTCAACAGAAGTTCAATTCGGTCATTCTTTGTATGCGCGCGTTCAACCAGGTCGTCCAAGGGTCAGTTCCACAAAACGATCGTAGCACTAAGAAGATCGTTACTCCCATAGCCTACCTTAACACAGACCTAGGATTTTAAATCGAAAGTGACAATATGTGGATTTTCACGACTGACGTATACCGCTTGGCCGATTTATATATTATACACCGCTATGAATTCCAACATGACACGCCTTCCGTTCCCACCTTCACAACTGATTCAATCTCAGTGGAAGATCTTTGACTCCGTAACAATATAAATATACTGCTCTTTACGCAAAGATTGCAGTTAATTAAGCACACAGTTGTGTATATATCGTAACAATTTTACACAGTCATATACATTTCTTTCATGACTCCGATTCCATGACTCATGATTACCGATAGTCTGTCATACAAATATAACAAATGAAACAAATATATCCAATACAGCCCATGCAAGTCTATAATATTTAGCAAGTCTATATTACTGTAGTATCAGGATCTCTTTATTATATTTCATAACTATAATTTCACAACTGTTTTTATCCGTAAAATATGTTCATTTCAGAGACTAGATGTTAGTCTAGATTACCGAGACCACTGCTTGAATGGTACGTATTCTCGCTGTCATTCGTAGCCGCACACTCATATTTTTGTACGACCCTAGTCTGTCTTACAGACCCTGATACAAATATATATCAAATACAGCCCATGAAAGTCTATAATGTTTGGCAAGTCTAGATTACTGTAGTAGATAGTCACTGGGCTCCCTTTTATTATAATATATTTTTTTAAGGATTGACTGTGTATTTTTTTCGGTTCATTGAGGTATGAATCGAAAAACCGATGTGCAAACTGTATGAATCTGCGTAGCTTAATTTTTTACATTCATTGGGAAATGAATGCAATAACACGTGACCAATTCAGCTAATCAGAATGCAGGAATTTGCATGAACACAACGAAAATTTAATTATATTAAGATAACTGAACAACTGTTTTTTCTGTACGATATGTTCATTTCAGAGACTAGAGTCTAGTACGACCCCAGTATCCTACGATAAATGCGAGCCCTCGTAGGATACATGGGTGAAATTTAAGCAGTCTACTTTTATTTGTGTACAGCTGCGGATTCATGTGGTAGGATATGTAGATAGCGGAAGAAGCCGAATGCACCCGAGTTGATGTTGTGACTCATCGATGACGTCACAAATACATGACGTCATTGTAGCGTGTGGCACGACAGTAACGGTCCCACGAGAGAACACAAAATAACGCAATCATCTGGAAAATATTGCACAAACATTAAGCATTCATGAGTTACACAAAACCCCAAAATTGTTTCTGCATTTGACGAACAACTGAAAAAGCAAGCGACACCATCCGGGCAATTTATTCACTTATAGTCGCCTAGCAACGCCTGCCATCTTTGCAGATTGTCTCTAGATAGTTGCACCACGTCCACAAGTCTCTCTTCCTTTTCTTCTGTTTCTCTGTCATTTTCCTCGTTAGCAGCATTGTCATGCATCAAAGAAACTGTTCAGGTATTTCCTTTATTTTGATTCTTTTTTTGTTGATTTGTTTACCTGTTTTCTGTAGATATTTGCATTTCTTTTTCTCCTTGTCTTTTTTTCAGACTCATTGGTTTTATTTCCTAGGCCTACCGACTAGTACCGAGTGAGGCTATATGTACCCATGCGTCTCCTTCTACTAGAACCAGTTAATCTGGTAAATACTTCACCTAGTGGCGTCTTATTTACGTTGGAATTATTTTAAAATACCTTAATTAACTATAAATAATTAATAAGTTGCCAGTTTGAATATTCCGCCAAGAAGACTTTCGTCGCATTTCCCCAATGAGGACATCGTGACTTATTTGATATAGTGTAATTACCCTGACACCAGAAAACAGTTTTTCAGCGCTAGAAATTGGCTGAAGTCCTTGTCAGATTGCCCAATAGTTAAGGTATCATAAGGACCAGTACTAGTTTCTACCGTTATCTTTGGAGGTGTACGAAAGGTGACACATGGATTTGAAGAAGGGCAATGTACTGAATGTAGGCGATCTGTGGCATTATAAAGTATATTATATACTGCAGTATTTTCTAACTTAATTAATTGAATGTAAAATATGTCGCGAGTGAATGAAGGTTGTACTTGCTAAGATCAATCGTTTTCGTTAACTCCTTCAATATGTCTGTATCTTCTTTTCTAATTCTTTCAATTCTTTGCATCAACACCCCAGAACGAGTGAAATAAAACGTATCCCCTGCAACTGTTTGTTGTTTATTTCTGTATGAGGTTTGTATATTGTGCAGACGAAATGTGTCACATTGTCACGTGATTATATCCACTCTGCAAAACAACTTCATTTAGCCTCTGTATGAGATTTGTATATTGTGCAGACGAAATGTGTCACATTGTCACATGATTATATCCCCCCTGCAAAACTACTTCATTTAGCTTAATGTAATCAACTTCAGTAGTGAAGGGAGCAGGTTCATTAAGGGTATTGACACAGACAAGAAGCCAGAAACAAAACACTTTGCCTTGTTTGTATGTGATAGGAAATAGAAAAAAACCCAAGTATGTTACATACAAGCCGGCTTATTCAATGCAAGTCGTATTGACAATCATCTCTTCTTCTTGTTCAGGCTATGGAAGTGTTTCACATTATATCCTCGAATGTTGTAATTAAACTAGATCTCATAGATTATTTCATGAATCTTCCGAATTTGACATAGGATTTGAGCTTCACCCTCTATATTGCGACCCAAAGTCAGACGGTAGTACATAAATATATTCTGACAACTGAAGGATTCATGCGTTTGTGTCCAAAAATATTTCTTGTTAATAGGTGATTCCGTGCTTTGATATATCAACAATTCTGGGGCTTCAAAATATTAAAGGAGTCATTAATATAATCAAACTATCATTTGTGAAGAGTGCCCTCAATCTGTCACAGTTCTAGCTACAGTTTCTGTAGAGTGCCCTCAATCTGTCACAGTTCTAGCTACAGTTTCTGTAGAGTGCCCTCATTCTGTCATAGTACTAGCTACAGTTTCTGTAGAGTGCCCTCATTCTGTCACAGTGCTAGCTACAGTTTCTGTAGAGTGCCCTCAATCTGTCACAGTTCTAGCTACAGTTTCTGTATAGTGCCCTCATTCTGTCATAGTACTAGCTACAGTTTCTGTAGAGTGCCCTCATTCTGTCACAGTGCTAGCTACAGTTTCTGTAGAGTGCCCTCATTCTGTCACAGTGCTAGCTACAGTTTCTGTAGAGCGCCCTCATTCTGTCACAGTGCTAGCTACAGTTTCTGTAGAGTGCCCTCATTCTGTCACAGTTCTAGCTACAGTTTCTGTAGAGTGCCCTCATTCTGTCACAGTTCTAGCTACAGTTTCTGTAGAGTGCCCTCATTCTGTCACAGTTCTAGCTACAGTTTCTGTATAGTGCCCTCATTCTGTCATAGTACTAGCTACAGTTTCTGTATAGTGCGCTCATTCTGTCACAGTGCTAGCTACAGTTTCTGTATAGTGCGCTCATTCTGTCACAGTTCTAGCTACAGTTTCTGTATAGTGCGCTCATTCTGTCACAGTGCTAGCTACAGTTTCTGTAGAGTGCCCTCATTCTGTCACAGTTGTAGCTACAGTTTCTGTAGAGTGCCCTCATTCTGTCACAGTACTAGCTACAGTTTCTATATAGTGCGCTCATTCTGTCACAGCTCTAGCTACAGTTTCTGTATAGTGCGCTCATTCTGTCACAGCTCTAGCTACAGTTTCTGTATAGTGCGCTCATTCTGTCACAGTTCTAGCTACAATTTCTGTATAGTGCCCTCATTCTGTCACAGCTCTAGCTACAGTTTCTGTAGAATGCCTACATTCTGTCAAGGTGCTAGCTACAGTTTCTGTAGAATGCCTACATTCTGTAACATTGCTAGCTACAGTTTCTGTTGAGTGCCCTCATTCAGTCACAGTTCTAGTTACAGTTTCTGTATAGTGCCCTCATTCTGTCACAGTTCTAGCTACAGTTTCTGTATAGTGCGCTCATTCTGTCACAGTGCTAGCTACAGTTTCTGTATAGTGCGCTCATTCTGTCACAGTGCTAGCTACAGTTTCTGTATAGTGCGCTCATTCTGTCACAGTGCTAGCTACAGTTTCTGTATAGTGCGCTCATTCTGTCACCGTTCTAGCTACAGTTTCTGTATAGTGCGCTCATTCTGTCACAGTGCTAGCTACAGTTTCTGTATAGTGCGCTCATTCTGTCACCGTTCTAGCTACAGTTTCTGTATAGTGCGCTCATTCTGTCACAGTTCTAGCTACATTTTCTGTATAGTGCCCTCATTCTGTCACAGTTCTAGCTACAGTTTCTGTATATTGCCCTCATTCTGTCACAGTGCTAGCTACAGTTTCTGTAGAGTGCCCTCATTCTGTCACAGTTCTAGCTACAATTTCTGTAGAGTGCCCTCATTCTGTCACAGTTCTAGCTACAGTTTCTGTTGAGTGCCCTCATTCAATCACAGTTCTAGCTACAGTTTCTGTATAGTGCCCTCATTCTGTCACAGTTCTAGCTACAGTTTCTGTATGGTGCGCTCATTCTGTCACAGTTCTAGCTACAGTTTCTGTAGAGTGCCCTCATTCTGTCACAGTTCTAGCTACATTTTCTGTATAGTGCCCTCATTCAGTCATAGTTCTAGCTACAGTTTCTGTATAGTGCCCTTATTCTGTCACAGTGCTAGCTACAGTTTCTGTAGAGTGCCCTCATTCTGTCACAGTTCTAGCTACAGTTTCTGTATAGTGCCCTCATTCTGTCACAGTTCTAGCTACAGTTTCTGTATAGTGCCCTCATTCTGTCACAGTGCTAGCTACAGTTTCTGTATAGTGCCCTCATTCTGTCACAGTTCTAGCTACAGTTTCTGTATAGTGCCCTCATTCTGTCATAGTGCTAGCTACAGTTTCTGTAGAGTGCCCTCATTCTGTCACAGTTCTAGCTACAGTTTCTGTATAGTGCGCTCATTCTGTCACAGTGCTAGCTACAGTTTCTGTGGAGTGCCCTCATTCTGTCACAGTGCTAGCTACAGTTTCTGTATAGTGCGCTCATTCTGTCACAGTTGTAGCTACAGTTTCTGTATAGTGCGCTCATTCTGTCACAGTGCTAGCTACAGTTTCTGTGGAGTGCCCTCATTCTGTCACAGTTCTAGCTACAGTTTCTGTAGATTCCCCACATTCTGTCACAGTTCTAGCTACAGTTCTGTAGAGTGCCCTCATTCTGTCAAGGTGCTAGCTACAGTTTCTGTGGAGTGCCCTCATTCTGTCACAGTTCTAGCTACAGTTTCTGTATAGTGCCCTCATTCTGTCACAGTTCTAGCTACAGTTTCTGTATAGTGCCCTCATTCTGTCACAGTTCTAGCTACAGTTTCTGTATAGTGCCCTCATTCTGTCATAGTGCTAGCTACAGTTTCTGTAGAGTGCCCTCATTCTGTCACAGTTCTAGCTACAGTTTCTGTATAGTGCCCTCATTCTGTCACAGTGCTAGCTACAGTTTCTGTGGAGTGCCCTCATTCTGTCACAGTGCTAGCTACAGTTTCTGTATGGTGCGCTCATTCTGTCACAGTTGTAGCTACAGTTTCTGTAGATTCTCCACATTCTGTCACAGTTCTAGCTACAGTTCTGTAGAGTGCCCTCATTCTGTCAAGGTGCTAGCTACAGTTTCTGTGGAGTGCCCTCATTCTGTCACAGTTGTAGCTACAGTTTCTGTAGATTCCCCACATTCTGTCACAGTACTAGCTAACACCGAAGAGTGTTAATTTTTATGATATAGTGCTACTATCGGCTCCATGTATATTCATAATGAAAGTTGCAAGAATCATAACCTGAAAATCGCTATGCTCAAACCTTTTCAAGCAAATATCATTATGTGGAGTGTCGATTATTTTTGGTATAACGTTTGAAACAAATTTGGATCAGTAAAATATCCTCGCGTATCTGCACATCCACATTCCATACCTTATCGCACATTTAAACATTTATGTACATGTACACAGCGGCCATATTGTCCCATTGCTGAAAGATTGATCACCGATATTAAACGAAAACAATGCTGCCGCTCTAAGGCTTCTAAACCCTGCAGCCTTTCCTAATGTGCAAAAATAACGAATAGCATATAACTGATCGACAGAACGGAATACATGAAAACTTCAGAATGGAAATTAAATGTTAAATTGCCGAACGGGGGCCCGTTCCACAAAGCGATCTTAGTGCTATGATTGCCGTAAGCCTATTTTAAAGTATGGGTGTTACGATCATCTTAGCGCTAAGATCGCTTTGTGGAAGGGGGCCCTGGGACCTAATCAACATGGAAAGAATATAAAATCACTGAGGATCGGGCCGGTGTTCATGGGATCGATCAGTGAAGAAAACCAGGAAAATAGATGCACGTGACCTTAGACATGCCTAGTCTGGTTTACGATTGCTCATAGTACTTGTGTATTAGTATGTTTGATAACTATATGTATACTAGCGGAAAGAAATAACCGTACTTCAAATAAAGTTGTGTAAATGTTTATGTTATTCAAAATAACAATATAATATTTGGTCATTCGCCTGATAAATGTTTTATCATAACACATTCATTGACAAAACAGACACGTGAAGATTCCGGGGTAGAATAGGTCTTCAGCAACCCATGCTTGCCGTAAAAGGTGACTAAGCTTATCGTAAACGGCGACTAACGGGATCGGGTGGTCAGGCTCGCTGACTTGGTTGCTGCATGTCATCGATCCCAATTGCGTGGATCGATGCTCATGATGTTAATCACTGGGTTGTCTGGTCCAGACTCGATTATTTACAGACCGCCGTCAAATAGCTGGAATATTGCTGAGCGCGGCGTTAAACAGCAAACCAACCAACCAACCATTGACAAAACACATGCCTGGAAACAGGAGACAGAGTGGCACACCCCAAAAGAGGGGTGGTGTTATAGCTCAATTAACAATGTCAACCTCGGATGTGACCACAAATTTGCATTGATACAGGCGAGGCAGTCTGGGGGTCTTGTTTCAAATGTCAACCAAAGATTCGTCCAAATAAGCCAGCGTAATCGGCTGGTTCTGGTCCTGTCGTAGCCGCAGTTCCATCTCATCCATACATGTTCTGTTGGGGAGAGGTCTGGAGAAACAGCCGCCCATGGCAGTACAACACTGTTATTTTGCCTCAAACAGTCTGTTACAGCACGTGCAACATGTGGGCGGGTATGGTCCTGCTGCAAAGTGACGTTACGTCCCTACATTTGTACAAAGGGTAGAACATGGTCTCGTTGTTGGTGAACATGAACACGATGTCGTTCCGGTAGCGTATGCCATTCAAACTGCCATTGCCAATGATGAGTTGTGTGCTTCCATGAGTTGTGATGCCACCCCATACCATTACACTTCCCCCGTGAAGATCCGGGATAGAATAGGTCTTCAGCAACCCATGCTTGCCGTAAAAGGCGACTATGCTTGTCGTAAAAGGCGACTAACGGGATCGGGTGGTCAGGCTCGCTGACTTGGTTGATGCATGTCATCGATCCCAAATGCGTGGATCGATGCTCATGATATAAATGACTGGATTGTCTGGTCCAGACTCGATTATTTACAGACCACCGTCATATAGCTAGAATATTGCTGAGTGCGGCGTTAAACAACAAACAAAACAAAAACAAAAAAAACAAACCATTACACTTCCACCCCCAAGCTGTCGACGTTGAGTAATGCAAGCATCGCTAAAACATTTTTCTGGACGCATGTAGACCCTTGCACGATCACCACAGCTGTCCAGATGAAACTTGTCCCTGTCGTATCTCCTGAACCTCAGATGCCGTCCTGGCGGCCGGGTAGCCTTGTGATCAAAGCTTGACTTGGTTTACGTAGAAAACAGGTTCCCAGTTACTCATAATTATGTGAAAACATGATATGAAAACAGGAATCCGTCTAAAACATTGCACATGTAGATCATTATGGGTATAGGGGGCACGGGTGGCCCAGTCGTCTAAGGCGCCGCAATTTACTGTGCAAACCTATGATTGTGGGTTCGAATCCCGGTTCGACCCGATTATGTTTCAAGGTTTGTTAGCACCATACCGTGCTCGTGGGTTTCACCGAAGTGGTAAACGTCCTGCATCACTAAAGCTGACACGCCGTGATATAACTGGTATACTGTTAAAAGCGGCGTTAAACCCAACTCACTCACTCACTCATTATGGGTATAGATTTTACAATGGTGGCCACCAGGAAGGGCCTACAAAAGAAACACTGTGTATAATTATTATATGTCATGTTATCTCGACGCAGTGGATCGAACCCCGTGTTTTGGTTTGTTTAGTACTGTAACTCAGTCATTCTAACAAATTTTCTGTCAGCAGGTAACGGACGTCCGCGGTTCCCGAAAAGAGAGCCGAGAGCCCGACCCCCCACACGTAGGCCTAATCCATCCCACAACTGGGCCTCTTCTCAACGAAGTGTTTCAATCCCGAATTGCCATGAGAAGCCCCAAAACTCCACCCCGGTTAGATCCAACACCACCCCGGGTACATCTGACACTGGGATACACTGGAGATTAACGCAGATGTATTCTGAAGGTGGCTGCGCCAAATCTAAAGATGGAGTCTCCTCTTGGAATTGCGCTGAAGGGGGCGCTTCAGCCAAAGTTGTTTCTCGTAAGGTAGAGCCCGCTACTGCTGCATCACCAGCCAGAGATAATGCTCCCAGCATCACTAATGTCAAGAGAAATAGCCAATCTTCCACGTCCGGCAATAAGGTAACCATTAATCATTCATACATGTGTCTATCTTGATCTCTGAACTATGTGGATCCCCAATATCTGCCCAACAACTCAGCTGAACAAGCAACAGATGACTAGTGAGTGAGTTTGATTTTACGCCGCTTTTAGCAATATTCCAGCAATATCACGGCAGGGACACCAGAAATGGGCCTCACACATTGTACCCATGTCGGGAATCGAGCCCGGGTTTTCAGCGTTACGAGCGAACGCTTTAACCACTAGGCTACCCCACCGCCCCAACAGATGACCAGACAAGGACAATGTGAGGTGCCACAAATCACGTAGTTTACCTCAGTCCCCGAACCATATCATTGTACTCGTATCTTCCCTCTAGCCCTTACTGTAAGGATACAGCCCTAAATGAAGCAAGTCTAGATCTTCCACGGGTCTGTCTCACAGTCCCTGAACCATATTAGTTTCCCCTTCGCCCAGCCCTTACTGTAAGGATAGAGCCCTAAATGAAGCAAGTCTAGATCTTCCACGGGTCTGTCTCACAGTCCCTGAACCATATTCGTTTCCCTTTCGCCCAGCCCTTACTGTAAGGATAGAGCCCTAAATGAAGCAAGTCTAGATCTTCCACGGGTCTGTCTCACAGTCCCTGAACCATATTAGTTTCCCTTTCGCCCAGCCCTCACTGTAAGGATAGAGCCCTAAATGAAGCAAGTCTAGATCTCCCACGGGTCTGTCTCACAGCCCCTGAACCATATTCGTTTCCCCTTCGCCCAGCCCTTACTGTAAGGATAGAGCCCTAAATGAAGCAAGTCTAGATCTTCCACGAGTCTGTCTCACAGTCCCTGAACCATATTCGTTTCCCCTTCGCCCAGCCCTTACTGTAAGGATAGAGCCCTAAATGAAGCAAGTCTAGATCTTCCACGGGTCTGTCTCAGTCCCTGAACCATATTCGTTTCCCCTTCGCCCAGCCCTTACTGTAAGGATAGAGCCCTAAATGAAGCAAGTCTAGATCTTCCACGGGTCTGTCTCACAGCCCCTGAACCATATTAGTTTCCCTTTCGCCCAGCCCTGACTATAAGGATAGAGCCCTAAATGAAGCAAGTCTAGATCTTCCACGGGTCTGTCTCACATTCCCTGAACCATATTAGTTTCCCCTTCGCCCAGCCCTTACTGTAAGGATAGAGCCCTAAATGAAGCAAGTCTAGATCTTCCACGGGTTTGTCTCAAAGTCCCTGAACCATATTAGTTTCCCCTTCGCCCAGCCCTTACTGTAAGGATAGAGCCCTAAATGAAGCAAGTCTAGATCTTTCACGGGTTCTGAAACTAAATGTCATTGGGACTCCTATTTTGTCAATTCAAATGTAGTGGCTTGTTTCAATCAAAACTAAATTTTAAATAAATAAAGCTAGACCGTTTAGAGGTGTCGCCATTACGTGTCTGTGTCTCCCGTTCGTTGGTTTAAACTCCAGATTGGCCCTATGTTCGTGGTTCGCTTACACCCCACATGACTTAGACTTTCCTATGACGTTAAGGTAAAACCCAAATGTTTGAAATGACATTAAAGCGTCATTAAAACCATTCCATTCACCGTTGGACCGGGATTACTTGACATGCATTTTATTTGTGATAGAATTAACAGTCTAAAGTTTGGCATCAATTCTGAGGATAAAATGAGTGTATGTCTTTATCATATCTTCAGGCAGAGCTCGGGATCGAACAAGCCGCTAAAATTGCTCTTCCCTCCTCGCCCTCCGATGAAGACGTATCCGGCAAAGCGAGAGTTATCGCCCCTAAGCAAGTGGCCACCAAGACCCTCCACTCCGCCCCAGCAAGATCTGCGGTGGTTAAACCAGGCTGTTCACTGCCAAGTGGAGAATCTGCCCCATCAGACCTTGAGGCTCGTCGTCAAAAGGCAATACAAATGGTAATATTTTGAATTTTCATTTTCTCTGTAATTGGATGATAACTGGCCCTTACTGTGTATGCAAATACATGTATAGTTGTCGTAAGAGGCGACATACTGGATCGGGTGGTCAGGGTCGCTGACTTGGTTGATGCATTTCATCGAACCCAATTGCGTGGATCGATGCTCATGGTGACGATGTTAACCACTGCCTTATCTACAGACCACCGTCATAGCTGGAATATTGCTGAGTGTGGCGTTTAACAAAAAACAAATCTTACTCTTGTATAGACTTTAAAGGGTGAGAGAATCCGCCGACCACGGGGCCACGGTTGGCCATGACCTAGACAGGGAATTCAGGGGCCACGATTGATCATGACCTAGACATGGGACTCGGAGGGGGCACGGTTGGCCATGACCTAGACATGGGACTCACAGGGGCCACGGTTGGCCATGACCTAGACATTGGACTCACAGGGGCCACGATTGTCCATGACCTAGACATGGGACTCAGAGGGGCCACGGTTGGCCATGACCTAGACATGGGACTCAGAGGAGCCACGATTGGCCACGACCTAGACATTGGACACAGGGGTCACGATTGGTCATAACCTAGACATGGGACTCACAGGGGCCACGGTTGGCCATGACCTAGACATGGGACTCAGAGGGGGCATGGTTGGCCATGACCTAGATATGGGACTCACAGGGGCCACGGTTGGCCATGACCTAGACATGGGACTCAGAGGGGCCACGGTTGGCCATGACCAGGACATGGGATTCACAGGGGCCACGGTTGGCCATGACCTAGACATGAGACTCACAGGGGCCACGGTTGGTCATGACCTAGACATGGGACTCAGAGGGGCCATGGTTGGCCATGACCTAGACATGAGACTCAGAGGGGCCACGGTTGGCCATGACCTAGACATGAGACTCACAGGGGCCACGGTTGGCCATCACCTAGACATGGGACTCAGAGGGGCCACGGTTGGCCATGACCTAGACATGAGACTCACAGGGGCCACGGTTGGCCATGACCTAGACATGTGACTCGGAGGGGGCACGGTTGGCCATGACCTAGACATTGGACTCGGAGGGGGCACGTTTGGCCATGACATAGACATGGGACTCAGAGGGGGCATGGTTAGCCATGACCTAGATATGGGACTCACAGGGGCCACCGTTTGCCATGACCTAGATATGGGACTCAGAGGGGACACGGTTGCCCATGACCTAGACATGGGACTCAGGGGGGCCACGGTTGCCCATGACCTAGACATGGGACTCGGGGGGACCATGGTTGGCCATGACCTAGACATAGGACTCAGAGGGGCCACGGTTGGCCATGACCTAGACATGGGATTCGGGGGTCACGATTGGTCATAACTTAGACATGGGACACAGGGGTCACGATTGGTCATGACCTAGACATGGGACTCACAGGGGCCACGGTTGGTCATGACCTAGACATAGGACTCAGAGGGGCCACGGTTGGCCATGACCTAGACATTGGACTCGGAGGGGGCACGGTTGCCCATGACCTAGGCATGGGACTCGGAGGGACCACAGTTGCCCATGATCTAGACATTGGACTCAGAGGGGCCACGGTTGGCCATGACCTAGACATGGGACTCGGAGGGGGCACGGTTGGCCATGACCTAGACATGGGACTGGGAGGGGGCACGGTTGGCCATGACCTAGACATGAGACTCACAGGGGCCACGGTTGGCCATGACCTAGACTCGAGACTCACAGGGGCCACGGTTGGCCATGACCTGGACATGGGACTGGGAGGGGGCACGGTTGGCCATGACCTAGACATGAGACTCACAGGGGCCACGGTTGGCCATGACCTAGACTCGAGACTCACAGGGGCCACGGTTGGCCATGACCTGGACATGGGACTCACAGGGGCCACGGTTGGCCATGACCTAGACATGGGACTCAGAGGGGCCACGCTTGGCCATGACCTAGACATTGGACTCGGAGGGGGCACGGTTGGCCATGACCTAGACATGAGACTCACAGGGGCCATGGTTGGCCATGACCTAGACATGAGACTCACAGGGGCCACGGTTGGCCATGACCTAGACATGGGACTCAGAGGGGCCACGGTTGGCCATGACCTGGACATGGGATTCACAGAGGCCACGGTTGGCCATGACCTAGACATGAGACTCACAGGGGCCACGGTTGGTCATGACCTAGACATGGGACTCAGAGGGGCCACGGTTGGCCGTGACCTAGACATGAGACTCAGAGGGGCCACGGTTGGCCATGACCTAGACATGAGACTCATAGGGGCCACGGTTGGCCATGACCTAGACATGGGACTCAGAGGGGCCACGGTTGGCCATGACCTAGACATGAGACTCACAGGGGCCACGGTTGGCCATGACCTAGACATGGGACTCGGAGGGGGCACGGTTGGCCATGACCTAGACATTGGACTCGGAGGGGGCACGGTTGGCCATGACATAGACATGGGACTCAGAGGGGGCATGGTTAGCCATGACCTAGATATGGGACTCACAGGGGCCACCGTTTGCCATGACCTAGATATGGGACTCGAAGGGGGCACGGTTGGCCATGACCTAGACATTGGACTCGGAGGGGGCACGGTTGGCCATGACCTAGACATGGGACTCAGAGGGGCCACGGTTGGCCGTGACCTAGACATGAGACTCAGAGGGGCCACGGTTGGCCATGACCTAGACATGAGACTCATAGGGGCCACGGTTGGCCATGACCTAGACATGGGACTCAGAGGGGCCACGGTTGGCCATGACCTAGACATGAGACTCACAGGGGCCACGGTTGGCCATGACCTAGACATGGGACTCGGAGGGGGCACGGTTGGCCATGACCTAGACATTGGACTCGGAGGGGGCACGGTTGGCCATGACATAGACATGGGACTCAGAGGGGGCATGGTTAGCCATGACCTAGATATGGGACTCACAGGGGCCACCGTTTGCCATGACCTAGATATGGGACTCGAAGGGGGCACGGTTGGCCATGACCTAGACATTGGACTCGGAGGGGGCACGGTTGGCCATGACATAGACATGGGACTCAGAGGGGCATATTTGGCCATGATCTGGACATGGGTCACGATTGGTCATGACCTAGACATGGGACTGAACTGCCTCCATGGTCTAATGGTTATAGTGGCTAGTGGAAGATCGGTGGCTCGATCCCTGGCTGCGTCATACCAAAAGACGTAATAAAAGAGAGTACTTGTTGTTACCATGCCCGGCGGTCAGCATTAAGTTGATAAAACAAGAGCCAGTATACTTTCGATGTACCAAGGATCATAATCGGATTAAATCTGGATTTCCACCCTACGAATAGCGGTTCTTCCTCAAACCACACTAAATAATTGATGGGAGACATCATGTCCAAGATTACGAACTATTTTGATTCAGGTTCTGGAGCTGCGACTTCAGCAAGACATGCAGAATTCTTCGGACGATTCTTGGTCTGAATATAGTTGCAGCAGCGACAGCGACACAGACTCCTGCTGGTCGACATGTTCTGAGACGTCAATCACCGACACAGTGAATGTCCCTACATACCCAGATGAAGAGTCACGTGTCACGGCAGTCCTGAGAGCGAGACTTGCTGCCGGGCACGTCCCTCAGGTAGGATACAAGAATAGGATCAGGGTAGTTGTGGTAGTGGCAGTTTAGTTGTGGTAGTGATAGTTTAGTTGTGGTAGAGATAGTTTAGTTGTGATAGTGATAGTTTAGTTGCGGTATCAGTAGTTTAGTTGTGGTAGTGATAGTTTAGCTATGGTAGTGGCAGTTTAGTTGCGGTATCAGTAGTTTAGTTGTGGTAGTGATAGTTTAGCTATGGTAGTGGCAGTTTAGTTGCGGTATCAGTAGTTTAGTTGTGGTAGTGATAGTTTAGCTATGGAAGTGGCAGTTTAGTTGTGGTAGTGATAGTTTATCTATGGTAGTGGCAGTTTTGTTGCGGTATCAGTAGTTTAGTTGTGGTAGTGATAATTTAGCTATGGAAGTGGCAGTTTAGATGTGGTATCAGTAGTTTAGCTATGGTAGTGGTAGTTTAGCTATGGTAGTGGCAGTTTAGATGTGGTATCAGTAGTTTAGCTATGGTAGTGGTAGTTTAGCTGTGTCAGTAGTTAGTACTGAAAGGATAGTTACAACTTAAATGTTGCACGGAAAGTTGTATTTACATCCATAACATTTTTCTGGAAAGATCACCCTCAATCGATTTTAAACAACCAACTAGTGTTCACACCCTCTCGAACGTTCATCTGTTGCTTTTAAGTGCTATTTTACATCTATAACATTTTTCTGGAAAGATCACCCTCAATCGATTTTAAACAACCAACTGGTATGTCCACCACCCTCTTGAATTCAGGTATAAAGTTTGCAATACTGATTTCTGTTGATGTCTTTACAGGCCCGCAAATCCAGGAACTTGGTCTCCCTGGATGAGATGCTTCACGCCATCAGATACCTGCCACAGGTACGTCACAGCAGCCACCTCTTCATGCTTGGTACAAAGTGTCTGCATCCTAGATAACATCTCTGTGAAATTTAGGGATGGGACAGTTGGGCAAGCAGGCATCCCACCAGTTGGGCACCAGTTGTGCTCCCCTTCTTGCTGATCTGTTTCTTCATGAATCGATATTTCTGCTGACCGCCTCCGTGGTCTTGTGGTAGAGCGTCCACCCGGAGAGCCGAAGGTCCGGGGTTCGACCCCCGACCGCGTCATACCAAAAGACGTTTAAAGATGGTACTTGTTGTTACCGTGTCTGGCGCTCGGCATTAAGGGGCTAAAACAAGGACTGGTCGGCTCGGAGTCAGTATACTGTGTCTGAGTGGGGTATTCATGTTAAACTGCGGCTTGGTATCTCAGTGAGCTAGCACTATACATCGGCATCAGTCCGGACTAGTACAAACAGCCACACAAACACACACACACGTACATGCACGTCGCTATGTAAGTGCAATAATCTTGGACGCGACGTTACACCCCATTTCACCTAACCTCACCTCACCGTTCTGCTAGCATAAACATAGTAAAATGGCGATGAGACTTGAGAAACTTAAGCTTCAGGTATATCGATGATCTAAACTCGTTCGCCTTCCACTGATTTACCAACCTGAACTTGAAATGAAATGGACCAGCGAGACCAGACCAATATTTAATATTTAGAGCTGTGCATAAAGATTCAGAGTGACAACAAACTCTCCACAAGACAGGCGGGACAGGCGGGACAGGCGGGATGACTTCCATAGTCACTTTCCCCTCTATGTTGAACGATATTCCAGCAGCTCCAACCTAGGTGTCCACATTTTAAACATTACAAACGAGCATGCCCTTTTTATGAAAGATTTCAAAGAGCGCCATACGACTCTTGCTCAAAAGTTATTTCTCAGGGTTACAGCATACAAGGCCTCAGTAAAGCTTTCAAAATGTTTTATAAAGGAAGACATATCCCAAAATAGACGCATCAATGACCAATATGATGGCCTATGAATTTCTCTATGTGGACTTTTACCGTACTTTGTTACCGAATTTGTTCAAGTGAACACTTTGCCTTTGCAGGTGTTTATGACAAGAAACCCCGGTATCATCACTATTTGATAGTTATTCATAAACAAACACATGCTCATGATGTCTTCGGAAATGTTCAATGGACTTTTCCTTTTATTTGGAAATTTTGTCGAATATATAGTTATAGTATTTATTCACAGAATTGCCATGGGAATGTTAAGTGTAGGCTTTTGTTGACGTCACAGGCGCTCGTATCTTAAAGGGGTTGCTAGTCTGAGACATTTGTGTAGTCCAATCAAGCAAGCTTGAATACATCGTCCAAATACCACTTTGTTTGTCTGCTAATTTAGTATGTTGATAAATCATGTTACCATAATTACAACGAAATAATGTCTTATTTCACAAGGCACTAATAACAATTGTGGAAAGACAGTGGAGAAAAGTCTCCCTTTAACGCTACGGTAGTGACAATGTGATAAAATACGTCGTTATGTCATTACCCTTGAGGGGAGACACTAAGTGTCCGAGCTCCGTGAAATTCACGTTACATCTCTTTGACAGGAATATCAGATCATCCGCATCTTTTAATTGTCAACATTTCAACATCACCTTAAATATTGTTTCTTATTCTTCCAGCCTCGCGCCTTCGCCCCGTGGTTTGATGAAGACATGGTAGGTGGAAGTGACGTGTTCGGTCATGTGACGTGTGATACGTCATATGTGATAAGTCATATAAACTGCCAGGGCAAAAACAAGTATACAAATAGAAATTGGATTTGAAAAATTACAAACTTTTTCAAAAACGTTACTAGGCTGAAAACAGTCGCCGAAACATTGCAGATTTAAGGTCCACCACACAACTATGATCTAATACATCACCATGGATATAAGTATTTCTTGTTTGTTTCAGCCACAATCAAACATGGTGTATACTTTATTTTGCTCACTGTTTATGATATCGGATGTGTTTTGTGAAGTGGTGTTTATTAAGATGTATAACGCGATGTGTAATGTACGAGGTGGGTGTTGTGTGATGTGCGATACATGTCTGTTTGTTGTGTAACGCCGCACTCAGCAATATTCCAGCTATATGACGGCGGTCTGTAAATAATCGAGTCTGGACCAGACAATCCAGTGATTGACATCATGAGAATCGGTCCACGCAATTGGGATATAATGACATGCATCAGCCAAGTCAGCATGCCTGACCACCGGATCCCGTTGGCCGCCTCCTACAACAAGCATAGTCGCCTTTTACGGCAAGCATGGGTTGCTGAAGACCTATTCTAACCCGGGTCTTCACGGGTCAGGCGGTCTAAAACTAATCGAATCAGGACCAGACAATCCAGTTATTAACATAATAAGCAATTGGGTTACTATGACATGTATCAACCAAGTCAGCGAGCCTGACCACCCGATCCCGTTAGTGGCCTCTGACGATAAGTATGGGTTGCTGAAGATCAATACTAACCTAGATATAACGTGTTGTGTGCGCATATTGTATCTGTCTAACACAGGTAATTATGACGTAGGACACAAATACATTTCATAACGTCATGAAACATGTCCCTCAATGAACGCCTCGTTTAACTGTTTGAGAAATGGTTATATTAATTGTTGATATTTCTATTGCCTGTAGTGTATTGCATTTTAGTCTTTTCTTACAAGCACTCGCTAATACCTGTTCCATCTTCTACAAATTTCTAACCAACCTTCCTACAGGTGCTCAGTATCAGTTGTCTCCCCTTGCAGGTGGACTTCGACAACAACGTCATTGGCCTTCTCCGGCCTCCCGCTCGACCAAGAGCTCCCTATGTGGGAGACGTCATCGCTACCCTAGTTCCACCCATGGCAAGACTGAGTCTCAAACATGCCCAACATGTAAGTGAAGCACCTGGAACTGATAGTACATGTAACAACATCTATATCTTTAATATCAAATTAAATTAACAGATTGTATTATCCACTTGCTGGATCTTCTGAGGTCTAGAGGATAGATCGAGCGTCTGCCCGGAGAGCGGTAGATCGTGGTTCGATCCCCGGTCGGGTCGTAAACAAAAATATGCTAAAAGATGGTACTTGTTGTTACCCTGCCTGGCGCCCGACATTAAGGGGATAAAATAAGGACTGTTCGGCTCGGAGTCAGAATACTGTGTCTGAGTGGGGTATTCATGTCTCTCACACGCGCGCGCGCGTTGCGATGTAAGTGCAATCGTCTTTAAAGAGACGTCAAACATCATTTCACCTCGCCTCTGAAAAGAAATGTCCGGAAATAAATTATATTCGTCGTCTCCTTTCAGAAAATAAATGTGTATGCAAAACACCAGCAGATTATCCCATCATAACAGCATCTTTCAAACTCAGATGTTCTCGTGGTAGCGTCCATGCTGTGGCGCCATTTTGTGGCCACTCATCCAAGATGTCGGTCCTTGGTACTCGTTTATAGATGATGTCACCTCTCCGATTATTGTTATCTGTTGAATTGACTGTGAAAATAATGTAGGGTTTGTACCTGAAGTACCGGCGTCTTCCTGTTCCAGACCGGCGACGATAAGCACGTGACCCCAGCCAAATCCAGAAAGAGGCAGAATGACGATGTCCCTGATGTGAGAGGCATAAAGAGGTCAAGGACACAATCATCTGGAACAACTGAGCGCATCAACGCAGTGACCTGTGGCAAGAGGAAGGCTGTAGAATGTGATGACATCCTTCATGCCGCAAAGAGGACAAGGCATTAGATAGAAAGGATAGATTATTTGGTAATTATGTACGTATGTGTGTGTGTTTGTGCGTGTGGATGCGCGGGTGCTTGCTACGCATGTATGTTTTCCTGAAGTAGTGCTGTGTGATTGAGCTTGCGCGCGTGCGTGTGTGAGTGAGTGAGTAAGTGTGAATATTAATCGTGTTGTGTATGGACGGATGTGTGTTTCAACAGTTATTGCCACGTATATGTACACATGCCCTTTACTGTAGTATATGATGTGTACTAGATATCTCTTTATCCTGTTATCTGAAGCTAGAGGAAATTCAAAGATATTATTCTGATATGTAATGTCTCATGTCAATCTGGTCTTGATGCAAGTCAAGTTCACAGCTGTGTCTCATGTCAATCTGGCACAGAAACATGTAAAGTCACAACCATGCCTAGTGTCAATCTGGTTTGATGCATGTAGAATCAAAACCATGGCTTATGTGAATCTGGTCCACACTCATGTAAAGTCACAACCATGCCTAGTGTCAATCTGGTTTGATGTATGTAGAATCAAAACGATGGTTGATGTCAATCTGGTCCACACGCTTGTAAAGTCACAACCATGGTTGATGTCAATCTGGTCCACACGCTTGTAAAGTCAAAACCATGGTTGATGTCAATCTGGTTCACGCGCATGTAAAGTCACAAACATGACTGATGTCAATCTGGCCTAGACGCCTGTAAAGTCAAAACCATGGTTGATGTCAATCCGGCCACACGCATGTAAAGTCACAGCCATGTCTGATGTCAATCTGTCCCAGACGCTTGTAAAGTCACAACCATGGTTGATGTCAATCTGGCCCACACGCATGTAAAGTCACAACCATGTCTGATGTCAATCTGGCCCAGACGCTTGTTAAGTCAAAACCACAGCTGATGTCAATCTGGTCCACACCCATGTAAAGTCACAACCATGGCTAATGTCAATCTGTAAATGCTTGTAAAGTCCGGCCAGCTCCAGTTTGGCTACGATTATCAACTCAGCCACGATGTTTTTGAAAGTCACAAAGACAAAATAAGGCTGATGTTATATTATGTTGTGATACATAGCCCTAAGCTTCAAGTGGCACTTAGAAGCAGAAGTGTGAAAGAGTATATTTCAAGTTCAACTTCAACAAGTCCCATTGTAAGAATTATAAACGTGAAACTTGTACTTCACCTCTGTTTTCATGCATGCTCATTATATACAAAACTGTTTAAAAAATATTGTTGAACTCAAATACTTTGGTATGGTAAAAACATAGTTTAATCATTGCTGCCTAAGGAAGGCTATCGTAGCTTGACACTTCAATCTTAGCACATTCTGGCCCTCCTATTTAGGGCCCAGTGAAATATGAAGGTACATCAACATTACATGGTGTATATGTGTAACCATTTTTCTTTGTAATATACTTGCATGTTTTAAACAACCACAAAACAGAATGTTTGATAAATGTATATAGTTTTACATCTGTGATATTTTTAATATAGCAGAACGTGATTATTCTAGCTAGTTTTTCATATTTTGCATATCCTTGATGCTTCGTAATGATGGTCATGTAAAACCAAAATGTTATAACAAAATAATTCTTGATACATGTATATATATTTGGTAATTGTGAACATATCTGTGTGCGCGTGGGACGCATGAATGTTTGCCTGAAATAGTGATGTGTGATTGCTTCTGTGCGTGTGAATATTAATCGTGTTGTGTAAGGACGAATGTGTGTTTCAACAGGTATTGCCATGTATATGTTCACCTAGCCTTTACTGTTGTATATGATGTGTACTAGATATCTACTTATCCCGTTTCCGTTCTCAAAGAACACCTTAACTCTGGAGCTAGAGGAAATTCAAAGATATTATTCTGAAATGTAATGTCGAATGTCAATCTGGTCTTGATGCTTGTCAAAACCATGGCTGATGCCAATCTGGTCCACACTCATGTAAAGTCAAAACCATGACTTATGTCAATCTGGTCCACACAGATGTAAAGTCAAAACCATGTTTGATGCCAATCTGGTTCACACCCATGTAAAGTCACAACCATGGCCAGTGTCAATCTGTAAATGCTTGTAAAGTCCGGCCAGATCCAGTTTGGCTAAGACTATCAACTCAGCCATGATGTTTTTGAAAGTTACAAAGTCAAAACTATGGCTGATGTTATATTCTGTTGTGATACATAGTCCTAAGCTTCAAGTGGCACTTAGAAGCTGTCGTGTCAAAGAGTTGATTTCAAGTTCAACTTCAAGGTGTCCCATTGTAAGAATTATAAACGTGAAACTTGTACTTCACCTCTGTTGTCATGCATGCTCATTATATACAAAACTGTTTAAAAAATATTGTTGAACTCAAATACTTTGGTATGGTAAAAACATAGTTTAATCATTGCTGCCTAAGGAAGGCTATCGTGCTTGACACTACAATCTCGGCACATTCTGGCCCTCCTATTTAGGGCCCAGTGAAATATGAAGGTACATCAATATTACATGGTGTATATTTGTCACCATTTTTCTTTGTAATATACTTGCATACTTAAAAAAACACAAAACAGAATGTTTGATAATTGTTGATAGTTTTACATTTGTGATATTTTTAATATAGCAGAACGTGATTATTCTAGCTAGTTTTTGATACTCATTATATGCCAATCTGGTTCACACCCGTGTAAAGTCACAACCATGGCAGATGCCAATCTGGTCAACACCTATGTAAAGTCAAAACCATGGCTAATGTCAATCTGGTCCACATGCATGTAAAGTCACAACCATGGCCAATGTCAATCTGCAAATGCTTGTAAAGTCCGGCCAGCTCCAGTTTAGCTAAGATTATCAACTCAGCCACGATGTTTTTGAAAGTTACATAGTCAAAACTATGGCTGATGTTATATTCTGTTGTGATGCATAGTCCTAAGCTTCAAGTGGCACTTAGAAGCTGAAGTTTGAAAGAGTTGATTTCAAGTTCAACTTCAACGTGTCCCATTGTAAGAATTATAAATGTGAAACTTGTACTTCACCTCTGTTTTCATGCATACTCATTATAAACAAAACTGTTTAAAAAATATTGTTGAACTCAAATACTTTGGTATGGTAAAAACATAGTTGAATCATTGCTGCCTAAGGAAGGCTATCGTGCTTGACACTACAATCTCGGCACATTCTGGCCCTCCTATTTAGGGCCCAGTGAAATATGAAGGTACATCAATATTACATGGTGTATATTTGTCACCATTTTTCTTTGTAATATACTTGCATACTTAAAAAAACCACAAAACAGAATGTTTGATAATTGTTGATAGTTTTATATTTGTGATATTCTCTATATAGCAGAACGTGATTATTCTAGCTAGTTTTCGATATTTTGCATATCCTTGATACTTTGTAATGATGGTCATGTGAAACCAAAATGTTAAAACAAAATAATATTTGATACATGTATATATATTTAGTAATTGTGAACATATCTGTGTGTGCATGCGACGCATGTATGTTTGTCTGAAATAGTGATGTGTGATCGCTTCTGTGCGTGTGAATATTAATCATGTTGTGTAAGGATGAATGTGTGTTTCAACAGGTATTGCCATGTATATTTTCACCTATTAGCCCTTACTATAGTATATGATGTGTACTTGATATCTCCTTATTCCTTTATCGTTCTCAAAGATCGCCTTAACTCTGGAGCTAGAGGAAATTCAAAGATATTATTCTGAGATGTAATGTCGAATGTCAATCTGGTCTTGATGCGTGTCAAAACCATGGCTGATGCCAATCTGGTCCACACTCATGTAAAGTCAAAACCATGGCTTATGTCAATCTGGTCCACACCCATGTAAAGTCACAACCATGGCTGATGCCAATCTGGTCCACACACATGTAAAGTCAAATCCATGGCCAATGTCAATCTGTAAATGCTTGTAAAGTCCGGCCAGCTCCAGTTTGGTTACGATTATCAACTCAGCCCCGATGTTTTTGAAAGTCACAAAGTCAAAACTAAGGCTGATGTTATATTCTGTTGTGATGCATAGTCCTAAGCTTCAAGTGGCACTTAGAAGCTGTCGTGTCAAATTGTTGATTTCAAGTTCAACTTAAACGTGTCCCATTGTAAGAATTATAAACGTGAAACTTGTACTTCACCTCTGTTTTCATGCATGCTCATTATATACAAAACTGTTTAAAAAATATTGTTGAACTCAAATACCTTGGTATGGTAAAAACATAGTTGAATCATTGCTGCCTAAGGAAGGCTATCGTGCTTGACACTACAATCTCGGCACATTCTGGCCCTCCTATTTAGGGCCCAGTGAAATAAAAAAGTACATCAATATTACATGGTGTATATGTGTCACCATTTTTCTTTGTAATATACTTGCATACTTGAAATAATCACAAAAAAAGAATGTTTAATAATTGTTTTTAGTTTTATATTTGTGATATTTTTAATATAGCAGAACCCATGTAAAGTCACAACCATGGCAGATGCCAATCTGGTCCACACCTATGTAAAGTCACAACCATGGCAGATGCAAATCTGGTCCACACCTATGTAAAGTCAAAACCATGGCTAATGTCAATCTGGTCCACACCCATGTAAAGTCACAACCATGGCCAATGTCAATCTGTAAATGCTTGTAAAGTCCGGCCAGCTCCAGTTTAGCTATGAATATCAACTCAGTCACAATGTTTTTGAAAGTCACAAAGTCAAAACTAGGGCTGATGTTATATTCTGTTGTGATACATAGCCCTAAGCTTCAAGTGGCACTTAGAAGCTGTCGTGTCAAAGAGTTGATTTCAATTTAACTTCAAGGTGTCCCATTGTAAGACTTATAAATGTGAAACTTGTACTTCACCTCTGTTTTCATGCATGCTCATTATAAACAAAACTGTTTAAAAATATTGTTGAACTCAAATACTTTGGTATGGTAAAAACATAGTTTAATCATTGCTGCCTAAGGAAGGCTATCGTGCTTGACACTTCAATCTTAGCACATTCTGGCCCTCCTATTTAGGGCCCAGTGAAATATAAAGGTACATCAACACTACATGGTGTATATGTGTCACCATTTTTCTTTGTAATATACTTGCATACTTAAAAAAACACAAAACAGAATGTTTGATAATTGTTGATAGTTTTACATTTGTGATATTTTTAATATAGCAGAACGTGATTATTCTAGCTAGTTTTCGATATTTTGCATATCCTTGATACTTTGTAATGATGGTCATCTGAAACCCCAAATGTTAAAACAAAATAATTCTTGCTTCATATTTATATATATGAATATATATTTGATAAAAATATTTTAATTTTCTCTATGTATTTTTAAAGTGCTTCTTTTTAATATATACTCGTATTTGACAAAATTTGAATAAAGATGTTGTTGAATTTGATTCATGTCAAGTTATCATTCCTCCGCAACCACACCACACAATTCTGCTTCTGAAGGCTATTGGGAAAATGTACATGTTAAGGTTTTACTCTTTCGATCATAAAACCAGAGTAGTGTGCACCTTT